CAAACCGGAATCATCACTATTGTTATTATACAGGGTGGTCCGAATTTTATGCAGGAAACTTCTAGGACAGATAGATCTCTTGAAAACAATATGTGTTTGACTTATAAACATTGGTCTGGAGTAGCCCCGTTTTGGAGATACAGGGTGTTGAAGATATTTAAAAAAAAATGATTTTTTGTTTATATCTCCGGAATCTATTAACCGATCTCATTAAAATTTGTGCACAAGCGGATTGCGTATTGGTATGAATAACTTGAAAACGGCGAATCTTAGGGAAAAAATTCAAGTTACCTTTTTTATGTATTTACCCGTTACAATAACTTGTAAAAAATGCAGTGGCGTAGGTTTCTTTTTTATAAAAAAGGAGATGATCCCTGACCAGTTGTACACCACTGGTTGTACCTTTAAAGCTCATATTTTAGGGAATGCAAGGCCTACTATCATAGATTATCTGTACTAAATTTTATTGAGATCGGTTAATAGATTCCTGAGATATAAACAAAAAATCAATTTTTTTTAACAATTTTAACACCCTATATCTCTAAAACAGGGCCGGGGCCATTCCAGACCTATGTTTATAAGGCAAACACATATTATTTTAAAGAGATCTATCTGCCCTAGAAGTTTCCTGCATAAAATTCGGACCACCCTGTATATTATATTATTTTTAATGTAGGCAGTTATATTATGTAAATAATTTTACCTGCAACGAGGCACGTACTCAGACCCATAAAATTGGGTGGGCCCAAGGATATACTATATTTTTTTAAAGTAGTTAGTATACACCTGGGCCAATAAATTTAAGTGACTAATTCTTTTATTTCATATATTTTTGCTTAGGAAGGCTATAAAACTGTTATGAAGAAAGTTAATTTTCAATCTTGATGCTGAAAAATCGGAACAGATCTCCAGAACATAACAATTTGTGTACTGAATATAATTCAATACACGGAGCACCAAAAATGTTGCAAATTTGCCTTATATTCCTGTGTTGAATTAAGAAAAACATGGTTCTGACAGTATTACTTCCATAAGTTTTTGGTCTAATAATAAGTCCATTAAACTATACTTTTTGTTCAAAATCTATACCATCAAAAAAATTATGAACTGACGCAAGTATGGAAGATTTCTAACCGGTATCACCCTGGAACTTTTATGCTCATAAAACAAAGTTGAATTTTATGCTGGATTCTGATCTCTACCATATTTTTAAAGGACAACCACTTTGTTTATTACACTAAATACTGACATTTCTAAGTTACACTGTTTCAAAAGTAATAATAACATACAGTCTGACAACATTAAGCAGTTTAGTTGTAACTATATATTTATGTAACGTATTTCAAAACAGCATTAAGTAAATGAAATATATACCATGAACTAACAAGAGTAACAACATTATTATGTTCCTTATTAAAAATTATTTTATATCTTAATACCTCGAAATAATAAGGCCAGATAAAAAAGAATTATAACAAACGTTTAGTTTCAGTGGCTATAAGAGCAATATCTAAATAGATGGATAAGATGCAAAAGATCCGGATTTAAATTTTATGGAGCTAATTAGTCTACTGTTATTGAATGTCTATTCTTTTTTCTGAATTATAATTACAAAGAATATCTTGTAATAGTCTCATCTTTTTTCATACTCAATACCATTTTGAATAAATTGCTGTATCTGTACACCATGTTATTCTAAGCCTTCCTGTTGATATTGCTTTAAAATGTCTAATAATACAAAATCCAACCACATAATTAAAATTTATCTTTTACCGGTTAGAAATTCCCCATATCTACGATTCTGAGTAATAATAAATTTCAATCCAAACAACTTTTGCTGAAAATTCATTTCTTACCTATTACCAATTCTTTTTAACTGAAACGCCTTGTAAACTGTATTATTTTTGACGATCCATTTTCATCTGTTTTTTTTTTTACACATTCAGTGAAATATCCTGTAATACATTCATTGGTTTTATAGACTGTATCTAACGAAATGACACATTCATTATCTAGACGGAATTGACGGAAGTCACGAAACGTTACAAACACCATAATTCGGGAATCGTTGGATTAGCTTTTGTTAAGGAAAAATGTTTACAATAAAAACGTTTAAACTCGTGGACAGTTAAATAGATAAATGGGTAGTCATGTTACTCAGTACCATGTACCATGACATGTCACAGGCATTTATAATTACTAAAATTACTAATTACTACCTAGTTACAAAAAGTTAACTTCAACTAGAATTTACAAATTAACTAAAACAAACTCACATTTATAATAATTTATTGGCAAATTGCTCGTCAGTGCCAGTACAGCTTTTGAATCTGGTAATGGATATTAAAACAAAGGCTAAGAAGTTAAAATTATCAAAAATTTCATAATTACTTCTACATATTCGACAGTTATTTTTATTCTAAAATGATTGTTGACAAATTTATGATACCTCTATTTTAAAGTTATATATTTAAAGTTAGAATTGTATTTAATATAAGTGTTCGTGTAACTGTGGTGGTGTACCTGCTCATGTTTCTAATTGATATTTTCCTTAGCATTGGAGATAGACTCATTCATCAAATCTTTTATACCGAATGTTGAATTAACATTTTGTTCAAATAAAAAAAAATCATATAAAATCATATCCGATACATTAAAAGCAAATTGATGTAAACCAATTGGAGATTCCGCAATAAACTGATTTCTATAGCACATAAAAAAGATTTTACTTTATAGCGTAAACGGAAAGAGCCATTTTCAGCAACTGCGTCAAGATTGTAGAAAAACGCTCTTTGCTGGTATTTATGACTCCGCCGCTTTCACCCCCAAGCAAGGGTAAGCATCACCCCAAAATATTTAAATGGCATTGGGGATTGAGTAATATTTCTTTTGAAAGCTCTTATAATTCTCTTTACAACAGATTTTAAATTTTATAATTCCGCCCAATACTTTGAAAAAAAATACATTTTAAAATTTAAATTATGTTTAGTTGCTTACTTACTACTTAGTTGATTAAATGTTCAAACTGATGACCGCCCGCTTCCATACAAGAATAAAGATTTTGTTCGAAACGTTCGCGCACATTCCGAAATATTTCCGGAGTTATTCGACGGCATTCGTCGACGATTCTTTGACGCAAATCTTGCAGCAACGCTGGCTGTGTTTTATATATTTTACTTTTTAGGTAACCCCTCAAAAAGAAATCAAGGGGCGATAAATCCGATGATCGTGGAGGCCACTCAATGCTGCCTCTTCTCTCAATCCAATTCCGTAGAAAACGTTGGTCCAAATACTGACGGACAATTAACGCATAATGCGGAGGAGCACCGTCCTGTTGAAAAATCAAATGGTGTTCATCATACTCTGGAACATTTTCAANACTTCAAAGTGGAAAACAATTTTTGTCCATTGAAATAAAGAATATAAAAATTCCTGATACACGAATCCTTACGATTCAAGTTTGATTTTGACGCTTTGTATCTACCGGCAGAGAGCAATCTACTAATCTGTAGATAGAATGAGTCAGCAAAGAATGTCCCCCTTTCATCTAAAATCGACGGGTCTGAGCGTTTTTCTACAATCTTGACGCAGTTCCTGAAAATAGCTCTGTTTCGTTTTCATTTGGCCACCCTGTATTTATTCGCCGTTACAAAGTCTAACAAGCATAATATATGTGTCAATTAATGTGAAACCTTTAGACAGAATAATAAGGGTATTTTATAGACCATTTAAAGTTTTATTTTCCAGTCACCTCTCAATATGTAGGTTTAAACTAAGTGCACATCATCATGGCTAATTTCGTTACTATTAATAATAGAAAATAAAATAAATTGTAGTGACCCCTGAGATAGAAGCAGTCAGTAGCCGATTTATTTTGATAATCTTTAATAATAAACTCCATAAAAAATTCTTCGAATAATACTATAAATTATAAACTGTAATTTCCATGCGTACAAATATGCACATAGAACGTATAACTGGTTGCATAATATTTAAATTTTCAATATTTTTTTAAATAGTGAAATGAGGTCTCAAAATTATAAATTAAGGATTAAGGATATTAGATCTTATATGTACTTATATTTATTTATATAGGATGTATTTACAACGAGGAAGTGTACCAGATAATCTTGAGGCCAGGATATGATCATCGGGTCAAATATGCCCTTGTTCAAGGGTCAAAAAGATCTTATATGTACTTATATTTATTTATATAGGATGTATTTACAAAGAGGAAGTGTACCAGATAATCTTGAGGCCAGGATATGATCATCGGGTCAAATATGCCCTTGTTCAAGGGTCAAAAAAATTATATTTGTTTGTAACTACTAAATTAACGAAATATTTCTGGGCAAAATTTCCTATATACTTATTTATATATTTATATTTTAATATATATCAGTTCTAATATTTTGCGTTTCTACAATATTTGATGTAAATAAACACGAATCAATGTGAAAGAAACTTATTTATATATTTAAATTTTAATTTGATATTATTGTCCCATGTCCAGCCAAGGCGGTATACTTATTACTTAGCCTTACCTATTATGATATATTTTGGCCTCAAGATTCTCTACTAGAATTCATTTAAAAACACTCTGTGTAATAAATAAAAGATTTATTGGTATTGACACTAAACGCTAATACCAGTAAATCATTTATTGTAGTGTAGGTATATTTCTAGTTATTGTATTATTAAGAAAGTGTCAAGTAGGTAGAACCTTTTGTTAGTTTTGTTGCCTTCTCCTACCTCACAAGATAGGTACCTAACATGATTAATTACAAAAGATTACAAAACATTGTGTTTTGCAGGTTATTCATTATACTATTGCAAATTCACATGATTACAAAAGGTTACAAAACGTTGTGTTTTACTTGTCATTCAGTATATTAAGCATTTTTTATTTTACATAATAAAACCCATTTTAATGATTCCGATGATTCGCCAAATACTAATTAGTTGTTATCTTTTCGTCACCGATTGAGATATCTAAAATATTATAAAGATTGTACTTAAGCCATAGAATAGGTATTATTCTATTTTGTGTCTAAGCAAAGCAAACTATTTAGTTTTGGCTTTAATGTTTTATTTTGATTGTCATCATTCCATGATTATTCTATTGAGTTAGTTGAGTGTTGAGTTGAATCAGTTTTGGTGGTTTCGGTTGTAAGTGCGCGAACGCATCATGCTTTAAAAAAGTTTAATCAATAGTAATTTATTTCGCCTCTACCTACAGTTTTATTGTATATAGGTTGTAGGAAAAGTCTGATATTCACCAAACATGAGCAACAGTGAATTACGCAAACGAAAGGTATATCTAATTTCACATTTAGTAAAGCTAGTTTTGATGTATTAAAGTGGTAGTACATATCTTTTTTTACCCATATTTATGTTGTAGTTTTTATTTTTTTGATAGCTCTATGATAACTTTATTTAATTAATTTTAGGAAGTCACATGCATTACACTTTTGTAAGTTAGTTTTTGTAACAGATTTCCATTATATTAATTCTTACATAACCTAACTTTTTCATTTAATTGCATGATATGTGAAATGAACAGAGTGTAGCTTTAATTATGCAATGCAAAATGATAACCAATGTTTATTTAACTTATTACGTATATTTTTAGAATAAAGAACACAATGAAAGGCCAAAGACGAGTAAAAAGCGAAAAGATAAGGCCGCCTCTTCAATACAGACTTCTTTACTATGTTTAATCCTTAGTGGCACAATTCTGACATTATTTATAAGTATGAATTTCATTTACAATACAAAATAAAGTGTCTATAAAGCATATGTTTTAGTACTCTATACTGACCAAATTCCCTGGCATATAGGACATAGGGTTTTAGATAGCATTGCAAAGAAGTTTGGGTATCACAAACCAGTACATGCAATTGTTATTGACGCTGGAAGCACTGGGTCCAGAGTTTTAGCTTTTACCTTTCACGAGTCATATTTAGGTAAAGTCAGAACATTAAAAAATTTGCAATTTTCTGTTACTAATTTTATCCCTTTTAGATGGACATTTAGTGCTAGATAAAGAATTGTTTGTACACACGAAACCTGGCCTTTCTTCCTTTGCTAAGGAACCAGAGAAGGTAATTGCACATACATATAAACATTCCATAATTGTTACGTTGTCAAATTTTAGGGTGTTGCTACTCTAGAAGGACTTTTGGAGCAGGCTAAGAAGGAAATTCCAGAGGAATATTGGTGTAGAACTCCACTAATATTGAAGGCTACGGCAGGTCTCCGGTTATTACCCGCAGAGCAAGCCGAGAAGTTGTTACAGTCTGTTAAGGAATTTTTCGAAGATGCGCCTTTTGTAACAAACGACAAGTCTGTGGAGATTATGGATGGCGTCGATGAAGGAATCTTCTCGTGGTTTACTGTCAATTTTTTGCTGGGTAAGTGTATATAATTCATTGAAAGCAATAAAAAGCATGATATAATGTTTTAATTTTTAAATACTGTTGAAATTTATTACTTGTGGAGTTAATTGCCCTGAAAATTGTATTTCAAAAGAATCTGCTCCCTTTCTTGTTTTCTGGATTTTAAAAAATCTAGTGTAAAGGTCATTTTTCCCTTAAGTATTATAATATTTAAAATTAATATTGTTTTGCTTCTTTAAACTGTTGTCTATCTAGAATTTTTTATTACAAATTTTTTTATGATAACCGTGAAACTAGAGATGATTCTTGTATAGCCAAATGTGAATGTAAGCTTTATTTAAGAATATCTTTTTGTTTTTTTTTTCTTTTGGTAGATTTTTTGAGAAAATGCAGGTGTGTTCTGAAATATCACAAATACTTATTATTTACTTTAGTGCATCATTTTTAGAACAGAAGTACAAAGATACATTTTATTTAAGCAGATTTAAATCGAGATAAAACAAAAATTTTATTGAGACTGATTTCAAATGACTAAGCAACAATATATATTTACACAACTCGACAACATATATTATACAATTTTATGTAATAACCTTCAACATGTTTATATATATCTGGAAAGATAAGAATTTCACATTTCGATAAGTATGTGTGTCTGTATTTCATACTTCAAAGTGGAAAACAATTTTTGTCCATTGAAATAAAGAATATAAAAATTCCTGATACACGAATCCTTACGATTCAAGTTTGATTTTGACGCTTTGTATCTACCGGCAGAGAGCAACCTACTAATCTGTAGATAGAATGAGTACAAAGGTCTAAAATAGTATCCCAGTAGGCGAAATAAACTTTTTAAAGATAATTAATAGTCATGGGATTCGCGATCCAAAATTGCAGATGTGGTAGTTGAAAAAAACCAGCTAAAATATACAGGGGTCCCACTAAGGTCGGCGAGGAACGATATTAGAGAAAATATAGGCCCTAGAGCTTCGGGAAAAAAATTTTGATTAAATCAACCAAGAGAAATCGCTGGAAATAGTTTTTAAGTAACACAAATATGGATAACAGGATTCATTGCGCATAACTTTTGTCATTGAGATTTAGTTCTATCTCTCGACAGAAAGGGTGGGGGAAGCCTCTAATGTCTGATCAGAAAAATGCATTTTTATAAGGATTGGCTCATCAAAAGTCCATAGTGTTATACCTCGTTGGAAAAGTCTTTTCATGCTTTATCTCGTGGTGAATGCGTAATGTTATTTACCTCAAAATAGAAACCTATAGATGGCATTATTTCAAAAGAATGCCATTTTATGGATTTTTCTCAAAAATTTTAAATTCAATGCTATAGTTTTCTTTACATAAATGAATTCAGCACAAAAAATTAATAGATATAGTATAAGTTTGAAATTTCTAACGAAAGTGTTGTTTATTTATTGGCGCTATTTATCCAAGTTTAGGTTGTTTCACATTTTCCTAAAAAAGTGAAATTGCAGCGTAAAACTTTTTATAGGTTAGTTTGAAGAGCATAAAAATAGCTACATTTTGACGCCAAGGGTTCGATATCTTTTTTTTGTTATCAAGTTATTCACAAATTAGTTGTAAGATGCGTTTATAAAAGAACCTACCTAAGCATGCAGAGAAGGTTAAATTCCTACACTGAAAATAATTGTATGCATTTCGAACATTTATAAACATCTTTACTTTTGTTGAAATTGAATTGTTCTTTCGTTACATAATATCCATATCTGTTTGTTATTGTTTTTATTATTTTCAAGATTGTTATTGACTCACTCATTTGTGTGGGTTTGGGTAGGTTCTTATATAAACGTATTTTGTCAATAACAAAAGTTATGCGCAATGAATCCAGCTACCCATATTTGTACTATTTTTAATATACCTCAATAGGAAACATTTGTGAGAAACATTCAACTCTATGTTTTGATATGTAGATTGCACCCAGCGGCCGAGCTACGAACTTGAAAACTATTTCCAGCGATTTCTCTTGGTTGATTTATTGATCAAAATTTTTTTCCCGAAGTTCTAGGGCCTACACTATTACTTTCCATAATATCGTACCTCGCCCACCTTAGTGGGACACCCTGTATAATAGGGATATAGAATCAAGAATACCCAAGGTGTTCTCATGTAAACAACTTACAACATATCTTATCAAAACTGTACTAAACAGGACTTGTAACTTTTTTTTTGTAAAGAAATAACTCGTAAATTATTTGCGTATTAAAAACTGAAATTTTTATTTTAATTTTGTTTTTGTAAAAGTAGTGTCAATAAATTAAAAAATGTATTCCTCAAAAATGTAGGATGCTATAAATAGCAGTTACTCAAAATTTATTTAAAAAATTGATGTTTTAAAAGTGGGGTTTGGATGTTGCCGATAAATATTTCACTTGGATGATGCCGAGTTAACTAATGATATTGTGGGAAACAGTTACCCTGTATAATATATGCCCTTCCAAAATTGAATTACACTTCATTCATTCTTTTATTATAGAAAGAATTAATGGTAATCCAGCCAATACAGTGGCCGCCCTAGATCTAGGCGGAGGCTCAACCCAGGTTACATTTTCTGCTATAACTCCAGCTAGCCTTAAAGAAACACAGTATATACATCAAGCCGTATCCCCAAGAGGTCTTATTCCAGTGTACACACACAGTTTTCTAGGTCTCGGACTAATGTCGGCGAGACAGGCTGTCATTACGTTGAACCAACCGAATACAACGAAAGTCATAAGTGAATGCGTAAATCCCATAATTAAGAATAAGAAATTCCACTATCATGGTGAGCATATAATTTTTAAAATACAGGGTGTTTTTTAAATTGAGTTCACCTTGATTGTGCCATAACATTTAAGAATTTAAGAATAATTTATAAATTCTTAATTGTTAATTTTTTCTTCACAATTGTAGGTACCGACTACTTTGTCAGTGGTCTTCAGGAGAATTATCCGACCTCTAGAATTAAAGGTACCGATATTCAAGTCGGGGAAGTAGTCCCAATAGTGAGTTTCCAGAATTGCTCTCGAATCATAAACAAATATGTAGAGGGTAAAGCGAAACCCCCGGAAGAGTTACCTCTGAAGACTATTTTCGCTTTTAGTTATTACTTTGATAGGGCCACCGAGGTTGGACTTATCGGTAAGTACTTGTATTAATGCGGCAGCCCTGGTTTAATATTGTTTACATGTTTCGATTAATATATTTTTTTTACAGACGAAAAGACAGGGGGACAAATTCGAGTGAAAGACTTTAGAACAGCTGCTGAGAAATGTGAGAGTACTGTATAATAAAAAATTGCGAAACAATGTTTTGATTTGTTGTAGCTTGTCACGAGGCCAACGCCGAGCAGCCATTCATGTGTTTGGATCTGACCTTTATCTGGGTGCTGCTGGAGAAAGGTTTCGGATTAAAAGAAGACACGAAGATATTCGTAAGTGTAAAAATTTGAAAAATATCATCGGGAGTTAATTAAAAATATTTATTTTAACATTAGCACAACCAAAATTACACAGTTTACAGATGGTTACTAAATATTACATTTAGAATTTTTTTTTAGCTTTACAAGAAAATCGATGGTCATGAAATCAGTTGGGCATTAGGAGCGGCCTACGATTTACTCAGGGGATAGAGTAATGAATAATATTAGCTGTTCCAGATTAATTGTATTAAAAGCACATTTTATGTAGGGTTTTATATTTTTTTTTACTGTAAATGTGCCTTAACCTCGTCCTTTGTTTAGAGGCTGTGCAATAATTTTCACTTGATTGTACTGTCGTTACTCGAGAAACTGAATTTATTCCACTTACAGATTTGACACGTAAAAAATTGTTTCTGTCTTAGTTGTATAATATTGTACACGCAAAATATGAACAAATAAATTCAGTTTTTCTGTAATCGTAATATTTATCATTCCTGCGCAAGTCACCAATAAAAGTTTCTATTTTTAACTTGTGTTTTAATATCCGTTAATAAAATATAAGAGATTAGATTAATTTATCGTTTAATGTAAATTTTAGGTATCAATATTATAAATTTTTACGTTGAAACATAATTGTAATGAATAAAAAATAGCATAATCATCAAATCGAAGGGTGTAGCTACAACTTAAGCTACAAAAAAAAAAAAAAAGGTCGCAATTAGCGACACAATATCAAAAATAACGCAGTCACCGATTTACCGATATGACAAATCCCTGGCTACGCCCATGAAAATCGTAACTGTTACATTGTCTTAATTTGTAGAGATGGGCACTTTTCGGAAAAGTGGGTTACGGACATGTCGGGAAAAGTACTTTTGATCTTGAATCTAATAAGGCACCTATGAGTGATGTCACGTTTTCATATACAGCACTATCTAGTGCTATATTTGCACAGGTCACTGCTTGTGGGTACACAAAAGCAAAATATTACATTTATTCTAATGAATATGTGTCGATATATTTTACTTAGTACCTACCTTCAGATTTGTTTATAAACTGGTTTCTAATTTTCCCCGGACAGCCAATACACGTATTTAAATGTTTTTCCATCCTACTGGAATTCTTAAAAATTGTTTTTGAACAGAAGTTACATTTATAATGATTTTTACTCAATTCGGAAAAATATAACCAAACTGTTGATTTTGGCGTCATTCTTCATTTATAAACTATTTGTGTAAAATAATTAAATTAAGAATCAACTGATTACTATTTACTAATCGTTAACTTTGCCAAAAATAATAAAATATGGACATATAATAAAAGAGGTTATATTTTTATAATGTCAGTTTCAGTAATTTAATATTTAAAACTACTTAAAAGCATAAAACTGTACAGTGTTTCTTAAAGCTCAGGTTTTTTAAACAGCAACCTTTCGAGATGTAAAAGTATATTGATGCAATATACAAAAATACATCAAGGATCAAATAGAAACAACCTACCATACCACCTAAAAGCCATGGATAGTTAATTTACTAGCAGCAGTCAAGTTTTCCATTTGGCCATGATACATTACTTCATTGATCAATCTTTCTGCGTGTATTCTCTGATCATCGGTCATATCTCTTAATTTTCTTGCTACATTCTTGCCAATTGTATCATACAGATCGTCGAAATCATTACTAATATCTGTCTCATTAAGGGACTCGTTTCTCTCCATTTGTATATCATATAAATCTTCATCGGTGTCAACCTCTTCTTTGACATCCTAATAAATAGGAAGTTGTTAAAGTACTAAACAACAGTAAAAAAATAATAAAAATCCTTACTTGAAAATCATCAATATCCGAATTTAAAGAAGGATCTGTTTTTACTCGATTACTTCTTCTCTGCAAAAGATGAATTACAAAAAGGTAATGTTATGACACCAAAGTATTTTATACCATACCAAAGAGTTTTCGGAATTATTCGAAGAATAACATTTATTTTTAAAGATATGTACATGCCCTTTCAAAAAGTTTAACATATCAAAACACCATAAGTTGGGTTTGTACGGATTTTTTGATTTTGATCTCTTGCTTTCTTTAATTCTTCTGCACTCATATCTATATTGTCCTTTTAATAATTGGATTTTTTTTCGAATATCATCTGCCGTAAATAATTTTCCAGTGATTGTGTTCATATCTTGTGTGATTTTTCTAATAGCTGCATTTCTTTTAGCTAAAGTACTAGGTTTATCGCTAGCATATAAATATGGCTGTTTTTTCAATAAATTAATCAATGCTGTTGTGTATTCTCTACTCCAAAATAACACTCTCTAAAAATAAAAAATTGCAAATGAATGCACAACCTCAACAGTACAAACCGTTTGGAATTACCGATGTTTCTTGAGATTTAAATTGATCATCAGAACATTCTTCTCCAACAGTATATAACAACAAATTGTAATACCATAGGCTAGGCTTATGTATATCTTCTGGCCGCTCAGCAGATGCTTTAGAAAGACAAACTTTATTCCATTCCTTCCTGAAGCAAGCTCTCATAGAATCGATTTTAAGTTTGACGAAATCTTCATCAGCTTCTGGAAAAAACTCTCGACATTTTTGCAGCAACACATCCAATGCTTCGCCTCTTTCTGCTCTATTTCTATAATGGGGATGATTCTTGTCCCAGAGGACAGGATACTCTTTATATAAAGCCAATAATTCCTTTACAAAACGAGTTTGGTCAGTTAAGGGATGCACTGGTTCCTCCATTGCCATTGTGTAGGTATTTATCTTTTTCAAATGTATAAGTTTTACAAAACTTCTAATAATTATAAAACACTTTCATTGAAAAAATATTTATATTTATTATTAATTTTCTTTATCTTTAACCTAACCTCAAACACACAAAATTCAAGATCAACAAAATCACGAACCACATATAAATAGAAGAAGTAACTAAGCAGCCATGGACTACTACTACAATCCTAAGACTGGAAATTAATCGATTGTTGAGCATAAATCATTTACTCCGAGCACAAACCCAGAAAAAAATATACTGTCAATAGGAAATTATGTAAAGCGACAATAAAAAAAAAGTTGTAATATGAAATCCTTATATCTCATCTGCAAATCCAATTGAAACTCAGAAAAAAATTTTTACTACATCAGCTGCAGATGGCCGGCATCCGCAAATTTAGGCTAAAACCAGACAACCATGGCAAGAGGAGGTCCCTCAAAGCGCCTACACCGGCCATGCTTGTGGTCGGTTGCTGCCCAGGTCTATAAAGATAAGGCAGGGGCAGGACGAGGGTAGTTCCCCTCGGTTCCAAATTATAGAGACCACTTTTAACGTCAAAAATAACGGCGGGTCTAACCAAGAAAATCTTTGTACTCCCTTTTCGTGCCGATATATGATGATTATAATTACTCACAAATCTAGCTAGGGGTTAACAGTGTTAACAGCATAGATTGGAGAAGTATCGTTCGTCGTTTTAACCAGGGATACTGTGTAGTCCCCATGGTTTTAATCTGGTTTTAATGTTGGTTTCTTTGATCTCGAGGTCAAGAATTTGTTTTCATTATTTTTTTTTAGATGACCACATCCAAAATTTAGAACTCGTTGCAATTTTGTAGTATTAACATAAAACATAGTTTATAATAGCTAATAGCTAATAAGAGATAGCAAATAATTTTATTTGCTTTCTCTCTTGCACGTCTGTTCGCTCATTTAGCATTGAAAGCTGCCTCTAGTAGGTATATGCTCGAAGGTTCGTCCCATTGCATAATGATCATTGATTCTGTTTCAAATTTGTTCCGTCGTTTTTCGTCCTTCATTCTCTTTCCAAGATGGTGAGTGCTCAGAATTTGTTTTACTAAAGTTATTTGAAAATGTTTAAAGCATCTTTTAATATTTTGCACTTTTCTTTTTGATACAGTATCAAGTCCATTTAAACTTTTGGTATTAGTTAATATTTGTTGTTAATTTTGTTTGGTAAAAATACTTTCAATTCGATTTTGTGGTTGTGTTTTCAATATCCAACATGTTTTTTAGTCGACCCACAAAAAGAAAACAAGGAAGCTTAGGGGACACGTAAGCCACGGACATGGACGTATCGGTAAGATAAAAAGCCCGTTTAATTTTAATTGCTGTATTTTAAAAGGGAAGTTGTAGTGTCACTATTGAATCTCGTATCTTTGGTCGCAGTAGTTTAGAATAATAAAATTGTTGTATTTCATTAAAGATTCACAGTTCAGTGATTTAACAGTGGCACAATTTACAGAAAAATATTTTGTTTAACAATATATTTTGTCATTTAAGGTAAACACCGCAAGCATCCTGGAGGTCGCGGTAATGCTGGTGGTATGCATCACCACAGGATAAATTTTGACAAGTACCATCCAGGTTACTTTGGAAAGGTATGTAACCACAATATAATTAAGCATTTCTTTTTTCTTATAATTAGTATTTTCTTAAAAAAGTTTGTTATATTTTCACCGCATAATTACATCTAGACTTGCACGGCTAATAGTAATCTGCAGATTCAATTCTCGGAAATTGTGTATTATATGTATATATTTGTTTTCCAGTTGGGTATGAGAAATTACCATTTGAGAAAGAATTCAAAGTGGTGTCCCTCAATAAATTTAGACAAATTATGGACTCTTGTTAGTGAACAGACAAGATTAAAATACAAAGATCACCCAGAAGGAAAAGCACCAGTTATTGACATCGTTAAAGCGGTAAGTAATTCGTAATTTGAAAAAATTGTATTAATTTCAGAATTGACATTTTTTTATTATTTAATTCAATATTTAATTTACACCTAAACATACCTTTTGTAAATCTGAGATGTATATTATTGTGTGACTATAAATTATTCATCGATTCCTTAAAATGATGATTGATATGAACGGGCGGTCGTAACAATTTTGACGAATGTTCATTTCTGATTACAATATTTTACAAACATGTAACTTTTTTTATATAGGTTGTTTGTTTACTTAATTTTTGTTTTCAGGGTTACTATAAACTTTTGGGAAAGGGTCGTCTTCCCGAACAACCCGTTATCGTTAAGGCCAAGTTCTTCTCAAAATCGGCAGAGGACAAAATCAAATCTGTGGGAGGAGCTTGTGTTTTATCCTCTTAATTTTTATTATTAAGACCAATAAATTTATTTAAAAAATAATGCGTTTTTGTTAACTCAAATTTTATGATATTGATTGCGTTTTAAAAATTTTTTATAAGTTTCAATTGATTTTAAAATGAAAAAGGAAAACGGAAATATTTATTTGTATTTTCAAGCTACTGAGGGCCTGTATTTTTTTTATGATGAGAATATTTTAAAATATGAAATGAAATACCGACGTTTCTGACTACGTACTCTCATTTTCAAAATTCAGATGTGTAAATTATTAATGACGGGCAAATCTTGAAAATTGTGTCCAAACATTTACAAAAAATATAGGGACACTTTAAACAAGTTTAATGAAAATAATAGTACTTTAGATGCTTCTTTATACAGGGCGTTATCTTAAAAGTTTTTGTTATTCCTTGGTTTTTGAGAAATTCAGCTGAAATTTTGTAGACTTACTTTTTACATCAACTTTGGTAAAAATATTGGAAGTATTCTTATGATCCTTCTGTCGAGAAAATAATTAACTTTTTTTATGTGTACGGTTAAAAAATATTGCCTTTTTTGAAGATTAAGCATTCTCTTTGTGCTTGTAAAATTTTGATGTTGAACAAAAACATTGCAACTTTGGATGTTATGGGAACTTTTGTTGCTACGTTATACTTAGGGCTAGGCTTTCTTAAGAAGAAATTAGGGAAGGAAAGAAAATGGGAGAAGGAAGTGCTTGATTTAAGAACAATACATGTGAATCATAGGTACGCTAAAAAAAAAATTGTTGGGGTACTATAATTTCCATTCTTCCATTGGTCTATGCAAAATTTCCACCTTTTTGTAAATTGTGTCTTTGACACTATCCATCACCAAAAAGAGATTTCTAAATGAAATGGCAAAAGAGAAAATCCCGTTATTTACACCCGGTATATTGCATATATTAGACATCAGTGATACGACTTTCGTTTATTTTTTATTTAAAATTGAAGTAACTCATTGCAGTTGACATTTTTTGTACATCAGTGTTGTGTGTGAAAAATAATCTTTGAAAATGTCCAAGAAAGCAAAAAAGGTGCCATCCCTGGTAAGGTACAAAACATAAAAATAAAAATCTAGGCTCAGGTACTCGGGTATAATAAATAACAATTTTTTTTGTTCAGACTGAGTGTTGTTAAAGGTGTACAAAAATATTGCAGATGTACTATGCAGTTGATTATATATTTCATAACAGTAACTAAGTATTTCTTTTTTGTAATCTTCCAAACATGAAGTAAATATTTTGTAACTACAAATTAAGCTAACAAATTGTAGTAGAATTGAGTTGCCTCTGTTCACGACATAACTAAATATATTTATTATCTACTTGTTTGTTTCCACTTTTAATTTTCTCTAGACTCCAGAGGAGAAAGAAAAGCGACACATCAGGGCTATTATGAGATTCAAAGCAATTGTTAGGCTGGTAATAGAGAATCTTCCTTGGCTGCAAGATACAGGAGATTTCAAAATCAGTGACAACGTCATGAAGAATATTCAGTTACTGACCAGAAAAAAGGCGAAAACGAGTTCCCTAACCCTTCAAGTAAATGATAGGTTCAATTTTTTTCCCTTAATTGTTGTAAATTTACAGCAAACCTTTTATTTGATTATTTCGTGCATATTAGCACGGCTTAAAGTCTCTAAGCTGTGACATTAGGTATAGGAAATTAGGAATAAAGGTATAGGTATAGGTATATATAGGGTGATTCACGAATGGTGACCAAAAATGAAACAATATTCTTTGGATGTTAAACTTCAAAAAATATTTTTCATTTTTTTAAATAATTTAAAAACTAATAAGTGAAATATTTTGAAATTGAGTACATGTATTTATGTAAACATTGTCCAAAATCTGAAGACTTTTCCTAAATTTTACATGCTCCAGTGGCGGAGATACAGGGTATCGGTGGCATATTTTTCTAAATAAAATAGTACGCCACTGCTTTACGGTAACAACCATGATATTTTCGGATTCGTCTTTCAATTTTCTACAAAGTATCACTGTTTTATGTTTTTGCAAAAAGCCTGATTTTCGAGAAAAATGAACTGGGAGCACACTTCGATATTCGAATATAATGCTTTTCAAAATTACATGGTGGGCTGCGATAACAACTTTGACATTTTGAGCAGTTAGTTACTATTTTATTCAGAAAAATATGTAAATTTTAGAAAAAGCCCTCAGATTTTGGACAATGTTTACATAAATACATGTGCTCAATTTCAAATTATTTTACTTACCAGTTTTTAAATTATTTAAAAAAATTAAAAATATTTTTTGAAGTTTAATATCCTGTAGGTATCTTTTTAACGAAGCATCCTAGGCAAAAACTTCATAAGATTCCCCTTAAAATTCACCAAAGAATACGAGGTTTCATTTTTGGTCACCATTTGTGAATCATCCTGTATATATGACTGTTAATCACTTCAGGAGAAGGCAATTCTGAATAAACGAAAAGAAGACCGTACAGAAGAGGATAAACAAATACTGAATAGGGCCATTGGCGGCTTAAAGTGCTTCAGAAGATATCCACCGGTAAATATACCAATACATATATATTTTTGGTTTTAATACGAATACGTCCATAAAATTGTACAGACGGGCGACGTCCCAGAAATTGAGATGATAAATCACTGATTCTTAAAATCAAACAGATTGCGAACAAATTTGGGACATTAACATTCATTTTAATTTTAAACAACCTCACGATTTTTCTCCAGAAATTTAAATTTCCAATCTCGAACACTTTCATATTTAGAATATGGAAGTAATTTTTAATAAGTATTGCTCATTTTTTTGTAATTTAAATTTTTTGATATTTTTTTTTATTAAAAAAGGTAGTTTATCATTTTTTTATTAGTTGAGTCCTAATTTTTCATAAATAAAAGTGCATTATCGATTATTATTTAACCAAACATTTTATTTGCACGCTATACTTCAGTATAGGCCGCATATAATTAATTTCGGAATGATCAATTAATTTTTCAGTACGTCAAAGCGCAGCTTGCAGCAGTTACATATTTCTGCTTCATTCCTCCCGGTAGACACATCGTAAAGCAGGACCACAAAGCCCATGCCATGTACTTTATGTTGTCTGGCGAGGCTGCAGTAACTGTTAGGCGTTTCGATAAGGTCTTGAATGAAACGGTAGATCTGGATTCCGGACTTATTGAGCCAGGAACGATGTTTGGGGAGGTTGCCCTTATCCACGACATTCAGAGACTTGCCACTATCACCACCATAAGTTAGTACGAATTCGAAATGTTCCCAATTAAGCTCCTTCCTTTCGAATACATTTTATACGTTAAAACTGTAGCGTAAAAATTTTACGCAAAATTTTATTTTGCTAATCTCCTTCCCTTCCACCTTTCTTGGGTCTCGTTACGCCAGTGCCTTTTTCTGGTGATCATCGATCAAACATTGTACAAGTACCAGTTGTATGTATATACTCATATTTATATCGATTGTAGCGCCTTGTGAATTATTGATGATAAAGAAAGAAGACTTTGATATAGTACTCAAAGACACAGTCATGAAGGCTTGGGAGGAGATACAGAGAATTTTGAATAAGTTTTCATATTTCAAGAACTGGGATAACGTCGTGAGGAGGGAATGCAGCATCATGTCTAGGACAAAGGCAAGTATGGCATTGTATAACATCTGTATTACCTACACGTAAAGTAAAAAATAAAATAAGGAACTGGGGATAATATTAGAAATAAATAATTACAGACAAAATAAAGTTAAAATTAATGTACGCATGTAACACATTATTTTGTAGGTCTACTTACCTGAAGAAACCATTCTGGGAGATAGTTGCGGCTTGCCAGATTACGTCTATTTTATATCTAAGGGTTCTTGTTCGCTTATAGAACACATCAAGCTGAAAGTTTATTCTGCCAAAGGAATTAAAAAGTACCGAATATACAAACCCGAAAAATCAGGTAGGTATGTAATATGTGTAGAGAATTTTTATAGCGTTCAGCAGCAAGTGACCGACCGAAGGTATTTAGTGTGTGAAATTTAGCTGATTTTCTTCTAAAAGTTGCCTCTAGTTTACGAAATGTTTTACAAGGAATTTAAAATGGTGACGTGGCAACTTTCATATTTTTTTGTCGCCTGATGTTTGTCGTGGTGTGGACTCATTTCATTTCACAATATTTTCTTCTAGACAGTAGACTAGACCTAAGACGCGGTAAGAGTAGAAGTAATCTGGGTAAGAGCCTGGCAAGTTCCTCAGATCTCGTTAGAAAAAGTAAGCTGAGCTCAAAGCCCTCCAGTCTCATCACGCCTATTAGTTCGGAGTGTACTGCAGAGAAACCTATGAAAAGTGAATCCTACGTGAGCACTACTAAAAGTAAGAGTATTTTGCGGACGGCTACTTACAGGCAATATGACACGTTTCCGTCGGTTACCAGCAAGAGCAAAGTTGCACTTAATGTAGTGCCAACCGTAAAGGACGAGGGGCCCCTTTTTAGATCGGCGTCTAAATATTTGTCAAGTTCAAGTAGGTAAGTCCATACAGGGTGGTCTGGTAATGAATGAGACATAGAGTAACTGTGGATTGTCGGTATCATTACGCCACAGAGGCCTTAATAGGCCAGGAAATATAGAGTTGGACGCGACTTTTTGTTTCGGCAAGCTGAATTTATCACTATAGATGCTAAATATTATATACAATAACGTATTAGTTTCCACAGTCATAAAAATGGGGGGAAGATTGTTTACAGGCTGGTTAATTGTATAATTTTTACGTAATTTCACGTTTTATAACTTTTTTCCGTTCATTTCCACGAGAAAACAGTATTTTTTTTTCGTCTTCAAAAGACCTGCAAAACTAGCCCTCGAACGTCAAAAAATATTGATTGTATCAAAAGTTATAAACAGAAGAAGTCTATTTATGACTTTTGAGTTAAACATTTATAAACTGCGTTATTATTACCAGAACGTTTTGGCATTGCATCCTCTCATTCCTCATCACTGCCTAATAACTCACACGAAATCTGGAATCGGTAAGTCGAATAGTTTACAAGTTATGCCCTTATAAACAAATTAACTAATTATTAGTCTGGACGATCCCGAGGATCTCCCACAATCGCACTGATTTTCTTCATGGTAGATTTCATAATAGTACATTACAATCTATAATTTTTTTTTTAATTTCAAATTTGNGGCATATATTTAAAAATGTTCTTATACAATATTTAACTCTTATTCAATGCCAATTACGTTAATGTCGAAAATTTAGAATCACCTTGTAGCTCGAAAACGATAAAAGCATAAAAGATATCTCCTTGTATACAGTATGTTCACAGTTATAATGAATAAAAGAACTAACCTTTTTGCTTTGCATTTTACACGAAAAATAACACATTTGATAAAAAGCTTTTCTTGTATTTAAAGTTAACATTTCATATACGGAATATCCAGGAAAAAGTGTCACTAGGAAACGTTGTTGGGAATTAAAAATTACGAAAGGATTGCAATTTATGACAAAATTGATCGACTTTGGCTGTTTAGAAAAAAAATATGTTCACGATTGCATTGAACAGGGTGTGAAAATGTGGAAAACTGTTTTTGTTATCAAAACTATCTGCCTGCCGTACAGATATAATATATCATATAATATTTATTCTATTTTTACTTACCTTATCGTTGAGAATATTCAACCAATAGCAATCGAATTTAAGCAATTATTGGAAACTCGCCCTATCAGATTTCTTTTTATCGGAATACTTTTCTTGATCCAAAAATTAAAAAAAATGGGATCCTTTGAATAAATGAGCATCCTGTACAAAAGTCAAGAAGACAGTAACATATTTGAGGGTTTAAGAATAAGTAAGAAATGTATATTTTTTCATAAAGTTAAAAATAAAACATTTTTCCTCTGCGGGTCACAATCTTGAGATGCACTGTATATAATGTGTAAATATTGTTTTTTTTAGTTGTAAAATCAACACTGACCCTCCGGATGTAGAAACCCATTTTATTAAGGTAAGCCAGACATTTAAAATGTTTAAGGTTATTATTGCCACAATTTTCTGCTACTAAAGAACATAAGCACATAGGAAAAAATTAATACTTAGAATTGCTTGTTTGTCATATAGAATACATTTTAACTGAACCATAACAACTATTGCTCTATTAATACTTAGATACAAGGATTTTGATTATTTTTTTTATTGAAATTGAAACGAACTCTTCTACGTGATAAACACCATTACCATAAACTTACTGTCATTTCAGAAAAATCCTGTTTACCTTGAAACGCTCGTAATTCTTCTACAACTTTGCAACCATTACAGATGATTAATTTTGAGTGCAATTAAACATATTTTTGATTATATACAAGGTGTTTTAGATCCAAATACACAACATATATAGAGTTATGAAAATTCAGTTAAATTTTTAGTTGTAGTTGAAGAAAATTATCTTATAACAAAGCTAATTCCTTCCTCTGTCAAATTTTGTGTCGAAATTCAAAGAAATGTGGAATAGTACTAACCTATTTAAAAATAACATTGTCTATTAACTAATTTTTCACAAACTACTGGCTAAAAAGGAAACTTTCGACATTATAAAAATATAAGAATGTGCCATTTACAAAATATCTTTACTTCGGCACTTATTCAATATTTTTAAAATGTGGACCACCATAACCACCATAATGTGTCAAAATAAGAGTATAATGGTTCTAAAGGTTTGACCTTTTAGGTTTGTGATATGATCGAAGGAGCTTGCTTCAATATAGGCGAAAATTTCATAAATCGACGTGTCGTCGCGAAAATTCCCACAAACTGTTTGTTAATTCCAAGATACTGGATACTAAGAAACAACCAGGATAATATCTGGAATAAAGTTCAACAGTTCCTGAATCAACATATCCCGAACACGGAGAAAATATTTCAGAATTTCCTGCAAGAGCAGAAGTTCATCAGGTACAGGAAGAGGTTAATTAGAGACCTCTTGGCTGAGAAGAAGATACCCAACAGCAATTCAATCCATAATGTCCCTTACAGTATTCGTCTGAGGGAGGGTGTTGATGTTGACTACCAGGGTGTGAAAATGTGGAAAACTGTTTTTGTTATCAAAACTATCTGCCTGCCGTACAGATATAATATATCATATAATATTTATTCTATTTTTACTTACCTTATCGTTGAGAATATTCAACCAATAGCAATCGAATTTAAGCAATTATTGGAAACTCACCCTATCAGATTTCTTTTTATCGGAATACTTTTCTTGATCCAAAAATTAAAAAAAATGGGATCCTTTGAATAAATGAGCATCCTGTACAAAAGTCAAGAAGACAGTAACATATTTGAGGGTTTAAGAATAAGTAAGAAACTTTAAAATGTATATTTTTTCATAAAGTTAACAAATAAAATATTTTTCCTCTGCGGGTCACAATCTTGAGATGCACTGTATATAATGTGTAAATATTGTTTTTTTTAGTTGTAAAATCAACACTGACCCTCCGGATGTAGAAACCCATTTTATTAAGGTAAGCCAGACATTTAAAATGTTTAAGGTTATTATTGCCACAATTTTCTGCTACTAAAGAACATAAGCACATAGGAAAAAATTAATACTTAGAATTGCTTGTTTGTCATATAGAATACATTTTAACTGAACCATAACAACTATTGCTCTATTAATACTTAGATACAAGGATTTTGATTATTTTTTTTATTGAAATTGAAACGAACTCTTCTACGTGATAAACACCATTACCATAAACTTACTGTCATTTCAGAAAAATCCTGTTTACCTTGAAACGCTCGTAATTCTTCTACAACTTTGCAACCATTACAGATGATTAATTTTGAGTGCAATTAAACATATTTTTGATTATATACAAGGTGTTTTAGATCCAAATACACAACATATATAGAGTTATGAAAATTCAGTTAAATTTTTAGTTGTAGTTGAAGAAAATTATCTTATAACAAAGCTAATTCCTTCCTCTGTCAAATTTTGGGTCGAAATTCAAAGAAATGTGGAATAGTACTAACCTATTTAAAAATAACATTGTCTATTAACTAATTTTTCACAAACTACTGGCCAAAAAGGAAATTTTCGATATTATAAAAATATAAGGATGTGCCATTTAGAAAATATCTTTACTTCGGCATTTTATTCAATATTTTTAAAATGTGGATCACCATAACTACCATATGTGTCAGAATAAGAGTATCATGTTTCTAAAGGTCTGACCTTTTAGGTTTGTGATATGATCGAAGGAGCTTGCTTCAATATAGGCGAAAATTTCATAAATCGACGTGTCGTCGCGAAAATTCCCACAAACTGTTTGTTAATTCCAAGATACTGGATACTAAGAAACAACCAGGATAATATCTGGAATAAAGTTCAACAGTTCCTGAATCAACATATCCCGAACACGGAGAAAATATTTCAGAATTTCCTGCAAGAGCAGAAGTTCATCAGGTACAGGAAGAGGTTAATTAGAGACCTCTTGGCTGAGAAGAAGATACCCAACAGCAATTCAATCCATAATGTCCCTTACAGTATTCGTCTGAGGGAGGGTGTTGATGTTGACTACGGTATCTAAAAACCGCTTTTCCTAGATATTTCTTTTAAAGCAAAGAGTGATTCTTTTTTTTTTCCTGCTTCTTTACACCTTTTGCAGATCAGAAGAAATCAATTTCATTTCAGAAAGATTTATTTCAACATAATTTTAGTAAAATACTGAATCTGAGAATCATAAATTTAATTTCAGAAACGTACAGTTACATTTTAGAAAGCCTAAATTGTTTTTTAGGAAACATCATTTGTACTTTGAAATAATAATTATTATTGTCTAACATTTCTCGAATTTATTGAATGAAGCCATACCAATTAATAGTGAAATTTATTAAAGCGTTTATTCATTTTGAGAATTTAATTTGAATTAGATTAACTCTTTTAAAATGCAACTGCTGCTTGCTGAAATTTTTGAGACTGAAATGATATTAAAATTACGCTTTTTGAAATAAAATTGACTAACCTGTCTCTATGAAATAAAAATATTGTATCTGATTCTAAAATATTCCGAAATATATATAGAATATATCTACGTACTTCTCTAGTTGAAAAATTTTTATGTCTATTTTAAAATAGAATATCGTTGACGTTTTATTTAAAAAATCTGGGCCATACAAAAATAAATTTATTTAATATACTAATATATCATGTATAATTAATAATAATAATAAATTAACTAATTTCTAGTACATGGGAACTCACAGATTATGTTTACTGAAACATCTTTAAATTTTGTTTCCATTTTTATAAAGTGTGCTTTGGAAAAAGGTACCATAAACATACAAAAATATGACGATTTTTTCTTATAGCACCTCAAAGACAAAAGACGATAGGTTATTATCTACTGTCTTCTATTTTTGGATAGAGAGCTTCAAATACGACATTTTAAAAATAAATTTCAACCATATATTTTCCAAAAAACAACGTAATGTATTGAAATTTAGTACAGATAAGTTTTAGTCCAGTCAATGACAATTTTCCCGTATAATTTTGCCAAACAACGGCGATTTTCATAAAAATTTTGATTTAGGTTCTATTTACCCTCTATTTCAAAGTTGACCTTGTACTGGGGGTTGCTTTTACCCTGGGGGCGGATGCCACCCCCTCTCAGGGGTTGAACATGTTTCATTGCTAATAACTCCGTGAATGGATATATTCAGTAATTCTAAGCAACTTTGTTCTATAAAGTTTTTTCTGAAAGTCAATACTTTTCGATTTTTCGTGAGTGAAAGTGTAATTTTTTTAACCAAAAAAGTAATAAGTATTTTATCAAAAAAAAATAATTATAAAAAATGTAGTTTATAAAAAGAACAAAAAGAATGGTGCATTTATGGCGTCTGTAGACCCAATACAAGCGGAGTAATAGATCGTTGAAAGTTGGTTCTTATCCGTCAAACGCCAAAATTGAAAGTTTGAACGTGAAATAACCAAAAACCAATGCATTTTTCAGGGAATACTCATAGAACATTTTTTAAAGTGCTTGAAAAAACCTATTTTTATTTTTTATAAAAGTCCCTAGCATCAAACCTAAGCGAGTTATGACGAAAATAAAGTTGGTCCGTATTGTTTTCGGCGACAAAANTTTAAGGTTTGATAAAATAAATACATTACATTTTAAATAATAAAAAGATCGTATTATATTTTGAACTAAAAACAAATTTTTAACTATAATTGTTCGATTTTTTTTCCAAGGGGTGGTTTTTATAAGGGTTGAAACTTATAAATAAATAATAAAAAATGAAAACAGTAAAGAAATCTTAATTTAATATCACTATATGATTAAATTATTCCAAGTTGCTGTATAATAATTTTCAACATTATTTTTTAATCATTACTGTCATAGGGGGTGGTTTTTAGGGCTTGACAATTTTCAATTCATCATAATTACTTATTTAAAGATAATTTCAACCTATTACACGCTCGAATCTACAATTCTATAATTATTTTCGAATAGGGCTAGTTTTCACCCCTAAAAAATAAAAAGCAACCCCCGGCACTGGGTCAACTTTGAAGTAGATTATATAACTTTAGAACAAACAGTATTGAATTATACCAGCAATACCTAGACTTAGAGATAGAGAGATATACTAATTTCCGACAAAGAACTACATAATGTCAAAAGTGAGACAACAGATGAATGATGCAGCAATTTTTGATGTCTCAACTACAGACATTAGTATAGTCAGACGCTGCAGAGCACTACATCCACGTATTATATATAGTACAAATTATTTTATGTTAAAATGTAAGCATTTTATGAGGAAACAATTATTTCAGATTTTACACTGCCCCAATCTCATTCACATAATGTCCTTTGAAATTGTTTTTTAACTCATCATTTCCTCCTTACTTTGGGGTACGTTCACGTAATTGTCCTGCGACTTCACTATTTTACTCGCTGCGTTACTGCTGCCTTTGTCTTCGTTCCCCGCGTTTGGAATAATAAGGTAACTGGGATTCGAGACACTGTTTGGCGTCATAGGACTCTGCAGCGTTGTTTCGCAACCGGAATCGCTGTCTCTACGAAGCATTGGCGTCATTTCCATTGCGTTACCTTCTTCCGAATTTAAGTTCTTCACCTTGAAGTCGAATACGGGACCTACAGAAAGAAAACACCCATAATTCCGGCATAATAAAAGGTTGTTCAAACGTTACTACAAACTGTGGTAGCTCCATGTATACGAAATATTGGAACAACCTGTATAATTTATCCTTAAACAATAATTTCGAAGAGTGTAAACACCCAAAAAAATTGTTATATTGCAAACCTTCTTCCACCCGTGGACTGAATATGGTGTTGGGTCTCATGCTGAGGTAACCAGAGTCACCAAACAGTTCTTGGCCCACCATCTCGTTTACGTAATGAGGCGATGACAGTGCCTCAAAAGTAGGGGAGTTGAGCATTGCTAAATAATCAGTCTGACCCAGGCGTTGAGTGTTCATCACTAAGTATGAGTCGTTTAAATCAATGTAATGCTGAAAAATCAGTCAAAGTGAATTTTTTTACGTTTCGTTACAATGAAGAATGGAAATGTTTTTAACTATGGTACCAAATAATAGTGGTCTAAGCTTAAGGACAGTCACATACAGGGTGTATCGTGTAAAAATTACACTACAGCTTCCTAACGATATTTGTAATAGAAAAGTCTTATACGAAAAAGTTCTATTTTTGCGATTATTTGTCGTAAATTAGGTTTTTTGAAAAAAAATCTCATGCTCCTTGAAGGTGATTCTTAGAACAACAATTGTTTATACATATTTCCTGAGTCATTGATTTTACGTTGTATTATTAAATTGTTATTGCTGTTTGTTTCTCAATATTATATATTTATTGTGTATTACTTTGTTTGAAAAACTTAACCATTTCACAGGTAATGAAGAGAGAATAGAATAAACCGCTATGTAAAAAAATATATTAATTTTGATAAATTTCCAGTGGCGTAGAAATTATATTAAAAATAGGGGTAATCAGGGCCCCTTACGGACGCCTATGATTGATCTATTTTCACAATAATTTGTAAAATCGATAAAGAGTTTCATTCGTACACTGTATAATAAATATAAAACAAATGGCTTTCATAGTTTAAGAAAAAATAAAACCAAAAAAAATATTTTTTTTGAAGATATTATATCTCTAAAAGGAAGCCTTCGGAAGAAAAAGTGTACACTTCAAAGTAACATTATTTAGATAAAATCTATCGATGTTTCAAATCCAAATCATAAAAAGTGAATCATCCTGTATGTTTAACTCATCAAAACAGCAACTATTGTATAATACACTTTTCTGAAAGCTCAGATTTTTTTCCGGTTTTAAAATGGTGCTATGAGTTGCCTACGCATTATGGAAAAAAAATTAATAATCTATATTATCTTTAAGATTAAGAGGTTTTAAAAAAGTACACAAAAGTTGTTGCTTTTGATGAGTTAACCGCATGATTCAAATTTTGGTTCTTATTCCTGGAACACTCTGTGTTATTGACTGCAATAACTTTGTGAGAGACAGATTCTCCTAATTCGCAGTGGTGGAGGTGCTGGAGGTAATAGAAGATATTAATTCTTATTTAACAATTTTCGTTTTTCTTTTAATAATTCATAAAGAAGTCTCCTCAAATAAACATAATTTTAGTGGACACCGATAACTGCTTCATTTTAGGGAATTGCCAATAAATATTTGTATGCACTTTGAGGACAATTACATTTTTACTTTACTTACGTTTTTTATTGTGTCTTCTAAAAGACTTCCTAATCGCTCTGATAACTTTTCGAATGAGGGTCGGGCTAAGGGTGTAGAAGACCAACAGTCAGTCATCATCTTGTACCTGCAAAAATGTAATAGTTCAATGATCAATCCGGAAAACCAGTGGCTTTAAATCTTTCATTCACTCATTGGTTTAAATTTATCCAAAAAATGATCTTCTAAAACCCGACAACAATTCAACATAACTATCTTTGTTTATCATACGGATTTGCGTTAATCATTTCTTTGTCATTATAGCGCACTTTCCAGCACTGTAAAGCAACAAAGAGACAGATGATGAAGGTAAATATCATCTTGTAATTCGGAACCCAATTATTAAAATATCAACATTCTGGTATGATGTTGAATATGTCTTGGAAATCGAGATTGGGAATGTCTCTCTTGTACCTGCAGTGGTTTTTTTTATAGTAGCTGATTTTTAATTATATGGAATATTTTAACAATGACTTACACTTCCTTTGGAGCGTAATGCGGTGATTCCATCCTATATCCGTCCAATAGTTTTTGATATAATCTTTCATCTGCCTCCATGCCTGGATACGGAGTTCTGGCTAGTGAGAAAAATTCCCACAGGACTATACCAAACGACCACACGTCAGACTGAGTAGAAAACACTCGGTCCCTTATCGATTCTATTGCCATCCATTTTATTGGTAAGGGGCCCTGTTCGAGTATAAAATTACTTCTTTATGGATTCTTTAATTCAAATGTTTTATTTTAAATTAAATATTGGTTGAAAAAAGTGTGCTGTTTTTTATATGTAGATTAATTACTACCAAAACAAAAAATAATTATAAAGGTTGCCACACAAGGAAGTGCTCTAACTTTGAGAGAACATTCCTCAGGCGAAAATAAGCCCAAAAAAGATTTACACCTCTTCTAGAAATGAACTGAATGATTTTATGGCCTAGTTTGGGTAAAACTGGTGTCTAATATTCTTTAAATACCCAACTGAATACAATAAAAGTTTGAATTCAAGATTTTCAGGTTCAGTTTGAATGTCCAAGGACCAACAAGTTTTGAAAGTTTTAAGTAACAATAATTGTTAAAGACGTTATAACAATGTTGTTTTCGTTTAATTGTTTAGGAATTAAAAAGGTCATTAAAATAATTAAACCTACATTTCCTTTTTTCTTGTAATTGTCATTTTTGTACATGCTCTTTGCCAGTCCAAAATCGCATATTTTGACGACGTTGTTGTCAGCCAGAAGTATATTTCTCGCTGCTAAGTCTCCGTGAAGGACCTAGAAGGGTTTGCGTATAAATATGTTGTTAAATTTTTAACCTTTTACTACCTTTCTAGAAGCTAAATAGTGCATGCCTCGGGCAACCTGAAAAGCCCAAGCCAGCAGGTCCTTCGTGCAAATCGGCTTAACGTTGCCTTTGTAGTCTCCTTTGTAATTGGACCGCCAATCTGGTTGAACGCTGTTATTGCTTATAACTACTCCTTCCTCACCTATTGGAAAATTCTTGTTGTAGATTTAAGATTTGTAGAGTCTAAAAAAATTACCTTGCGATGATGTGGTGATGTCCGTTGTAGAACATGGATCAGAGTTAGCTTTATAATATCCATTTTTGGAAGGAGATAGAACTGTGCGATTAGTGATGTTGGAAAATGTCAGTGCAGCATATTTGAGCAAAGGAGATTGACCGTTACTACAAAAAAAGTAACGATGCATTCATCTTATCACATTAGAAGGAAGTATTAGTTTCCACATAATCATTGACCAAATGACAAGGACAATGTGTTACCTTCTGTCACTTGATACCGAGTAGGTTCGGTCAAAGAGTTCCTGGCCACTCGCGTAGTCTATTTTGCCTGTTTTTGGGTCTACCTGATCTATATAATTGTCCCTGTGTTTAAAGAGATAGTTCTGTAGGTTGCCAAACCGACAGAATTCCACAATCACTAGTAATTCCCCTAAAATGGAATAAAATTAAAACCTGTATACAGGTATGAGATACTCCAGAACTGAGAAACCATAGGCAAATTTCATTCATGTACTTTTATTGCAACAAGCTTCTTACTTTAAGTACTTACTTTTAGCAACATTTTTTGTACAGGCTCCTAGCAGGTTAACGACATTTAAATGTTTTCCGAGATGAATCATTATCTTCAGTTCAGACACCAATGCCTTTATGTAAATGTGATCTGTATTCTTCTTAACCATCTTGACGGCTACAGGAGTTTCTTCCTCCCCTTCCACGATTCTTTTCGCTACACCTTTCATGACTACGCCAAAGGCGCCTGACCCTAGTTGTTTACCTGAAAGAATATTATCAACAAAAAATAATAGTTTCCAATTAAGAAATAATTAGTTAATATAAAATTATTACCTAGTTTTAAATGTTCTATTGGAAACTCCCATTTTTGATCATACGGTAAAAGTTCAGCTTGTTCATCGATTCCGAGTTCAGGATTTATATTTTCTACGGCACCTTTTTGAAAATTCGCAAGTCCCAGTAATTTAAGCTCCCTTTGCAGTAGCTGAAAATTAATTTATTGGGTATACTGAACCACAGAATGTGCCACTTAACATTTCCGGTTTCCACTTAGAAAGTAAAAGTAGTATTTTAAATTACTATGAAGAACAGAAGGGGGATTTAGTAGAGACCAGATGTCAGAATTCATATCGAAGAGCAGTTCCCGAGAATTGGGGGAGCTACCATGATGCGGGATCGAACGTCTACTTTGGTAAATTGCAGTTTGATATATATCACCCTTTGCTATTCCCTCACACGTATTTTTAGCTTCTAGGGAAACGACGGTGAAAATTATAAGTGGCATATCCCATACTTTCACTGTTTGCACATTCTGCCGAAGAAAATAAAAAATATAATATACCTTTTCTTTTCTGATTTTAATGACGATAAATATAAATGTCCCAATGGATACCAAACTGAGCAGTATAATGATAGTAAAAAGCATGCTATAATCCGCTTTTAGTACATCTAAAAATAAAACATTAAGAAGTTAGTTGTTTTTTTTTTTAAATTATATGAAATACTTTTGAATTTTACAGTTCCTTGTTTCTGCGTGCTGCCCATCCTGTTTGTCGCTTCGCACTTGTAGGTACCTTGATCTTGTACTATAGTTTGCAAAAATGTAATTTCCTCGTTATTATCTGAAATCTGGATTCTTTTTGTTTCTGTGTGAAAAGCGACCCCGTTCTTAAAAAAAAGAATAAGATCTAAATGTGGTAACATAGAGATATCATCATTTTACCTTATACCATTTCACAACAGGTTTTGGTACACCAAATACCTTACAATACAACACTAATCTGTCGGGAAGGTTCATTTCTTTTTCATCTTGCAAAGTGGAGTTAATGATTTGTGGTTGTTCTGGATCTGCAATGGGTACATTTAGATAAAAGGGCACCTATGGTAAAAGAAAATCCGCAGGCCACAATATGATAAATAGGTCTAAACCGCTTTCTTTGGGAGTTAAAGGGTGCTTTACACAGTCCAAATAAAAGTTAATATTTTCGTATGAAGCTGCGAAAACAATAAACCAAGAACCAATTATCTCTTGACATGTGCTACAATTTTTTTAACACAAAGTCTTAGTCCAATACGTAGTGAATTGCTAATCGCAAAATGTTACGCTGCAGACCAAAATTACTCTAAATTACTGTAAAATTGTAACTAAGAAAATTAAGTAAAATTTTTTAGAAATTGGTCTGATGATAATAACATGTAGTCTGTCAGTGGAGCTACATGTTAAGCTGAAATTTTATGGTGTGAATGATTATACTGCGCTATTTTTAGTAGTAATATGAATGTAAATACATATCTATAATAACGGTAGCTGTGGTTTAATTATCGCTACATTGTATTTCTATTTTATACAAGGTGGCCCAATTAAAACACTGAAATATTTTCAATGCAACAGGTTTTTTCGGAAAACCCCGAAACTGGTCAATTTCGCTTTCAAGCGGGGAACATAACATAAGAAAATATAATCAAGTAAAACTCACTTGCCACATTGAAAGTCATATTTCGGTATAAGTATTTTCCATTCTTATCGAGAACTCGACAGCTATACAATCCACTGTCAGAAACATCTGTCTGTTGCATTTGTAGTTCAAGTTTGTTGGAATATCGGGTACTACTATTTGTAAGTCGGTATCCTAAAATTGAAGAAAATATCGTCTCCGATCTACCTACTTTTTAAATAAAAGAATAGCATACATACTATCATTATTTGTTAATACTTTATTTTTAAAGAACCAGGTAACATCAGAATAATTCTGGTCTGACGCTCCACATATTACTGAAGTTGTGTCGCCTTTTATGATGGTTACTGAGTTGTCTTGTTCATTTACATCCACATCCTTGTCCAAACTAAATACGGCGAAACCATTGCTGATGTCTGAAAATAAGAAATATAAGATAATTTTCAAATGAATAAGATTGTAACGACAGAAGAAGGAACATTATCAAAGAAAGTTATTTTCAACCAAAACTTTTGAGCTTCTTAAGTTTTCCTAAAATGCACTGTTTTCGGTTAAAAGTCCGAAAACCATGATATTAGAACCATGCACAGCAGTTGAAATCTAGTTAACTTATGTGAGTTTATGTTAGTTAGGTTAGGGTAGGTTATATTCGTTGTGAGTGGACTAATAGCTAACCCTCCAATGAGACCTTATGACACCGTCAAATGAGTTGGTAGTTCTTGGCAGTATTCAAGTGCTGTTCTCTCCAAGTCAGGAAAGCTGTTTTGGCAATAGCCGGAGCTATACTAAGGATTGGATCTGGTCTGATAAAGTTACAGGCTTTCGCTAGAGAATCTACAAATTCATTCCCTTGTTGGTCTGAATGACTAGGTCCAGAGTCACCTTGTTATTATTTCCTTCACGTTAAAGCCTTCTGACCGTTCAAGAAAAACACCAAATAACATTTGAATAAGATTCAGGAGTTTTTTTTACCAACTTAGCTGTTGGTAAAATCATATGCAAAATTCTATTCTTCCAGGAACAATTGTTAAAACAATAAAAAAACAATAAAAGTAACTGTGCAATCTTTAATCTTTGAAAGATCTTTATGGAAATACAGAAAAAATATTAATCTCATGTTCATCAACATTTTAGTGATTGATTAGTTTAAATATGAAATCGTTCATATAACAATAATTGTGTGAATTGAAAAAAACTGTTTCGGACTTACCCGAGACGTGAAGTCCTTTTATAATCGATGAGTTTCCTTGGTAATTCCTTGCGTGGCATTTGAGATATCCAGACTCGTTGGCGTTGATGGTTACTTCAGACACGAATTTGAATTCTCCGATTTTAGAATTTTTTCCATTTACCTGAACAATCAAATTTAAATCGATTAATTGTTGTCACGTTTTCGAATTTGCAATTTCCAATTCCGATGTTATTTACCGACGTTTTATCTAGGATAAAGTAACTTACTGGAACATAATCGCAGGTAGTGGACTGACATGGTTTGAAATACCAATGGAACTCCGGTTCTGGATTAGCGGAAGCGTAACACTTTACGGTACTCTGCGTATTAACTGGCAGAAACGGCTTTATCTCTAGCTCTACTTTTGGCTTGTCTAGAATAAACTTTTTGTTCCACTAATAATAACTACACTTTTTTTTTTACCTACCGGTTACATTTAAGAAAAATTTCTTTACTTGGGTCCTCTTATTCACGGTCAATAAAGTAAAGTTACCGAAGTCATTGATAGTAATGTCTTTTATTTTTAAAAACGCTCTATTTTTGGCAGAGTTATAGTATGCTTCATATTTGGTTCCGTTTCCCATGTATATTGTTTTGTTTTGAGTGTCCAACCTAAGAATATAACAATATCTTTAAAAAGTCAAACGAAAGACATTGAAAATGAGTTTATATTAAAGTTAAAAAAAATTGTATAGGTATTTATTTTGAAGGAAAAATACGTTCATAGTTAAAGTTTTGATGTTAACGAAAGAATAGACTAACTTTTGGGAATATATAAAGAATTAGGATTGATTTATTGCAGGGATGCACAGACTTATAGGGAACAGGGGCCACTCGGGAAAAATATAAGCCAAGGACGGGCCACTACAAACAATATTTATTAACACAAAATTTTTTATTTTTAAATAGTATGAAATACAATGATAAAAATAAAATAACCTTCAAAAATGTTCGTTGTAATAATTATGTAATCATTACAATGTACTATTTCATGTTTTATTATTTTGATGCATGACATTGCATTGAACTAACAAGTTTTTTTATATTTGGCTCCACATTACTTGTAGCCACACGTATAATTGCTTCCAAATTTTCATTTGCCAGACGGTTTCGGTTTTTCGTTTTGTTAAGTTTCATCACTGAAAACGTTTGTTCACAAATATACGTCGATCCAAATAAGCTTGCGCATTTCAATGCATTTATTCGCAACTCTTTATAAACGTTTTTATCAACGCAACGGTAGAAGTTGAGTAAATTACCTTTACTAAATTTGTTTCTTAAATTATCATCGTTTTGCATGTCTATTAATTCCAGCTGCATTAATTCCGGCGCATTTTCGGGTGAAATGTTGAAAGGATTGCTGAAAATGTCCAATAGCGGTTTAACTTTTTTGAAGTCTACAAAACGATTTTCAAAAGCTTATATCAAAATATCAATTTTTTCAACATGAGCGAAATTGACGTCAGTTTTATTGAATTTCTCCATAATTTTTTTGTAGTTCGGAAAATGGCCGTAATTGGCTGAATTGATTTGTGTCCTGAAAATACTCAATTTGCATTGAAAGGACGAAACATGAGAGTATAGCTGCGAAATCAATTGATCTTTGCCTTGGAGTCGCGTATTTAAGACATTCAAGTGATTTGTGATGTCTACAAGAAACGCTAAGTCACACAGCTAATCAGGGTTGTCGAGTTCGGGGACGTTGTTTTTCTTTTCCGCCAGAAATAGTTGGATTTCTTCAATCAAGTTAAGAAATCGATGTAGTGTCAACGCACGACTTAGCCACCTTACTTCAGTGTAAAACAGGAGATCACCATATTCGCTTTCAATATCCTCGAGAAATTGTTTGAATTGTCGGTGATTGAGACCTCGTGATTTTATAAAGTTTACGGTAGGTACTACAACTTTCATAACATTTTCAAATCCCAATAATTTTGAACAGGGGGCCTCTTGATGTATAATACAATGAAACTGCATTAATTCCTTGGTATTTATGTTTTTAGTTTGTAAATATGTTTTTAACAGAGTTACTATCCCAGATGAACTTCCAACCATTGAAGGTGCTCTGTCAGTTGTAATTCCAGATAGTTTCGTTAAATCCAAATCCATTATAGAACATTTTTCTAGAAGAGCTTTGAGCATGTCACTTCCCCTGGTTTGACTTGTCAAAGAACTCATACCAATCAGTTCTTCACTCACTTCAAAATTTTGCGTTACACCTCGTAATAATATTAATAGTTGAGCAGTTGAACTTATATCTGTAGATTCGTCGAGCGCTATAAAAAAATACTCAAAACTAAAACGATTTCGTAGCTAATTGCTCTTCTATATTATCTGCTAATGCGGTAATTCTTCTTTGAACAGTCATCCGATTTAACTGAATTTTTTTAAATTTCTTTACATTTTCCGGACACATTTTTTTGCGGCGATATCCAAACATTGCTTAACAAACTCACCATCTTTAAAAGGCCGACAAGTTTTCGCTAATATTCGAGATATTTCAAAGCTAATTTCAGTGGCTGTTTCAGCATCTTGAATTGGCTTTGTAAACATAGATTGCCGGCCTATTAGTTCCCGTTGTAAAGTGGAAATTCTTTGCGTTCGATTTTCGTCAGTTAATTTGGTAAAAGTTGGATGCTGGGTTTCATAGTGCCTTTTCACATTATATTCCTTCGGAATAGAAACACTACTCTTGCATATTAAACAGACAATTTTGTTATGCGATGAAATAAAAAAGTATTTTTCGGTCCAAATATCATGAAACTGTCGATTTTCATCTTCAACCTTACGACTACGTTTCTTACTGGGGCCTGGTTTATCCATATCAAAATTAATATTATATGTTACAGTCGGTAAAAGCCAAGTTCGAACGACGAAATATTTACTCGTCACAGATTACAGTTATCAAACAATAATAATAACGTTCGCTTATCCGTAGTCAAAACTTAACTGCCCCGGTAGCCGGCGATGCGTCGTATTTATACGAGTTACCAAACATCGAGAACCATCCGCTTTGTTCGGGGATCGACGTGTTTCGCGAATCTGTAATCTAGTTGATGCGACAGATTTCTAGTCTCGTAATAATATGTTTGGACCGGAGCGCGGCGAGTAGAATACTTTTAAAATTCGTTGGCGGGCCGCATAAACATCGACAGCGGGTAGATGTCTTTTTCTTTTCTGTTTTTGGCTCGTTTTCCCTGGGAAGGGAACAACAGAATCATAATAAAATCCCATATTACTTGGTACCGACGATTCATTTCGTTGGTATCTTGCTGAAACCGTCCACTCTGTTTTTATATAGTCTCTAACATTCTCCGGAAAGTAGTCAAGATGTGAGTTAGGAAAAGTAATTTCAAGTTCATCAGGCAACTCAACTGTCTGAAGTTTTCCAATTCCTCAACTAAATTCTGGTAATCCTCACTTTTATGATTCCTCAGGAAATTCAGACTGACTTTCTTGAAACTCAGCCATGCTGCTTCTTCAGTATCATTCATTTTTTTCATAAATTTTTCGTCTCAACATCGTACGGATTTGAGAACACCTTCTTCGAGTAAAGCATCACGTATTTCCGGAAACAGTCGCCATCTTTGTCCAAAGCTTTAACGAACTGTTTTATGAAACCAAGTTTGATATGGGTAGGTGGAAGCAGAATATTTGAAGGATCAACTAAGGGTTTGTGATGTTTTTCAATCCTAGATGGAAATCTGTCCGTTTTGGCCACATTATGTTCCTAGTGATTCTTTCTGTCTCTACAATCCCATAGTCATAAGAAAAAAGGGGGGGGAGGAGGTAAAGATGAAGTTGGACTCACTCCAGTTTTGAAAATATATTTTTTTTGTATTTAAGGGCGATTTCTAAGTAAGTGGTTAGAAAAACAGTTTTTTACTACTACAGGAACAAAATATACAATACATACGTACCATGTTACATAGGGTTTTGGGTGACCCTTAACTGTTACGTCCCACTGAACTGATGGATCTCCCGCAGATGCTAGGACTGAGTATGCCTTATTCTCTTCTTCCACAGTAAGAAAATGCTCATCCACATCTAATGATGAAGTCACTCTTATTGTTAGTCAAATGATTATACAATTAAAAGATACCATACTTACCAAAAATGTTGACAACCAAACTGCCCTGAGAACTATGCTGCTGGTTATCCGTAACATTACAAAAGTAGCTTCCACTGTCTAACTTTGTAACATTAGGTATGGTTAAAGTGTCCACCAGAAAGTCCCCCTTTTTTTCGTAATGTGGACGCATTATGTTCTTCTAAAAATTAAGTACTGGTAAATTTATCAAAATTGTACAGCCTACCCTATGTGTTTCAAAGTTGACTAATTGTTGACTACTTACGTTTACTTCTTTGGGTGTTCCCCAATGAAAATGTACATCATTATTTATCATTTTTATGATACATTCCAGAACTAAGGTCTGTCCAGTTACACTATGACCTTCGCTTAAATCTCGTATATGAGGTATTGCCAAGTGGCTGATGGGTCCTAGAAATAAATTAGATTTAAATGTAATACCTTTCCCAAACCACGTAAAAGTTATTGTCTGCTTTTTACATCATTTCTTTCAATTTTAGGAGAACTAGGCAAGAATAGTATTGATGTAAAAGACATTAAATCTTTTAAGGGACTTAACAAACTGAAATTTCAAATTCGTAGTATGTGCTTATAAACTACTAATATGCAGGTATTTTGCTGTTATTTTGTAATTCTGTTAATAATGTAGAAAATAGAACTTACTTTCAACAACCATTTGAACATGTGCCTCTTGTATTTCACCACTTCTCTGGAATTTGCATAGAAATAATATTCTGTTCAGAGTTTTTGTGTTATTTGTGATGAATCCATACTTGGGGTCATAACGGTAAACAGTTTCATCTGACGATTGAATGTCCATTTTTATCTAATTCGGGAAAAAAGACATATGAATATCCACTGCAATGATAACTACTAAAACTGTGAAATATTTAAATAACCTGCTTTCGGTTAGTTTATTGAAATGTAAATGATTATGAACGTTGGAAGGGACATTTTGATGATAGGACAGATGAGTCAAAATTTAGTAACAAAGGTATTTTTAATAGACACAATCGACACTTTTGGTCATCAGAAAATTCACATGTCATACCTTAAAAACTAGAAGAGTTAGGTATAAGGAACCATTATACTATTCGAAGGAGAACAAAAGTGTTCATCAAGTTGCGCAAAAATATACAGGGTGTTCCATTTAAAAAAAAAAGCTAAGATGGTTTAAAGTTGACTAAATTCGGTATTAAATTTCTACCACTCTGTATGAAATTAAGTCATTTTGGCAGGGGGGCATGTCCCCTATAAATTTTATTGCTCTAACTACACAGTGCTTTTTAAATTTTTTTTGAAAAAAATTAAATACATATATCAAAAACGGTTAACTTTAAGAATAGGACACCATTATGAAAGTTCACCTAAAAACTGACATAGAATCTGAAATTGCAATAATATACAGGGTGTTCCATTTAAAATAACGAAGATGACGTCAACTTCCGGTATAACCGGAAGCATTAGGTGGACGCCATTATTCTAGTTGAGAAGGGCATACCCGAAAACATTATTGACCAAATATTCAAAATTAAAATCGAATTAGTCTCTGAAATATGTCTTGTCACTGTGGGACACCCTGTACGTAGGTACATACAGAGATAGAGTTACCTGTTACTTGCAGATTATTATTATTTTATTACTTACATCATCACCAAGAGCATTATCACATAATGAAACACGTATGTCGGGTGAAGTAGGTTTGCAAGGTATAATAGCTTCTTGAGATTGTACCACGAAAACACCCTTGACAGTGTTTAATTCCAAAATAGTTAAATGATCGGGGTCTGTAAAAGTATATATTTTAAATTTAATTTTTAAGTGACATTGCGGTAATACCTAACGTTATTTATATTCATCCTTTTTTAAATGATTCTGCATTTGCTATAAAAAGGAAACTAAATTATCCATTATCGGGAAATTGCAACCGATTTACAAAAATGATTTGTAAAGTAAAACCTTTTTTATTTAGAATTGAACGTAATTTAATAATTTCCAGTTAAAAAATTCAAAATTGTAAAATATTAAAAGTTAGACATATTTTTACATTACAACTAGCGCCCCACTATTTGCGTATTCGTATTTGCCGCCTCAAAAATCGTAAAACTACAAATTTTTAAAACAATCGGTACATAAAAACTTAGAATATAGCAAAAAATCAAAAATATTTTTTCAACTTGAAAACCCCGTAGAATGAAAAGGAGCAGCAATTGATTAAGGTATGTTTGGCTCAATCGCTATATTTTGACGTTAAAAATCTGCCATTGAGCTGTGTACCATTATTAATTAAACACCCTGTAGGTATATGCGATAATTTTTTTTAAGAAAAAAATAACTTAATGAGAGAATATACCCGTAATGAATAAGAATCTAAAGTCATATTACGATCAAACATTGTATTAAAAACAATTAAAAGAAATAAAAGAAGAAGAGAGAACTACAAATTAGATTGTACTTACCATTAACATACAAATATATACTTTCGTTGTCTGTATCTGAATCATTATACTGACAATAATAGAAGCCAACAAAAAGATAAGTCATGTTTATAATTTGAAGTTTGCTGCCGTATTGGTAGCTGCTGTTCATCAGTTTCTCAGATTCCCAAATAAATTTGGTCCAAGACTCTTTACCTTTCTAAAATTGAACATTACTTGAAATATTTGTTATATACGATTTAAAGACTAGCAACTTTTTTATTTATTGACCGATTTTAACGAACTTGTTTTTTTTTGTTAAATAGACTCTCGGAAGCGTTTCTATTCACTAGGATTCTTGTCGAGGAGACCAAAACACAAATGTACCTACCAATGTATGTAGTGTCAGTATACAGTGTGTTTCAAATAATTAGGGACATGTTTTTCATCCACAATATATGTTTATAGGCAAACACCGATGTTGATTGTTTTTGGTCAACACTTACTTGACTTGATTTAAATTAATTTGTATATAACCATTATTATAATTTTGACCAAAGTAAAATTTCTTCACATAAACATATTCCTGATTTTAAGTTGTATTTAAATTTTTTCTAATTGGCTTTAAAAAAGTTGTTTAGACCATTCAATAAAAATTAATGCAAGAGTTGCTGAAATAATATTCAAGAACTTTAAAAATATGTTATGGACCTATATTATTATTTATTTGAAACGTACTGTATACTGGTATTACGAAATTTACCGTACTTGAATTTTAGGTCACTTTGAAAAGAATTCGTTGGAATTTTTTCGTTAAAATATCCTTAAAGGAACGCACTTTCATGCCATTTATTTAATAAGAAAAATTAATTAAAATATTTAAAAAAATAAAAAAGTTACGGAGGTGGCTAGTTTTAATAGCAACAAATGTAATAGTGGTTTAAAGACCGCTGACATTTAAAGTAAGTACGCTGGGTTTTCGGGTTGCTATCCCTGACCACCGCTAGATAAAGAATTACATTGTACTACCTGCTGGAGATCTTTTACCTGCCTGTTCTCGCGCAAGGCTCTGTGGGGTCAGACCTGCAATATTCATTTCAGTTCTTGTTGGTTCTAAAAACAGCTATTAATTTTTAGTACTTAGACCATGACATAACAACCCAAAAAACCTTCGTGCTCTTACCAATTAATTGAGTTAATATTTTCCCATAAAAAAATTGTAATTTTTTCACCTGTATTGGAGGTGTCGTCCATTTTAAGGGTCTATTTCCCTGACAGAACACTGTATGGTTTTCGTTTGATTCAATTATTGTCTCGAACGTTGATGGTAAGATTACAGGTTTTCCAATTCCGGATGCGACTGAAAGTATAATTGTTATTAAATTTAAAATTGGGCTTTTCACCTAACAATACTTCGCATTTTGCTTAGTGTTTGTGATTTATTATGTGATTCATAATTATAAGCTCATTATTTATTTAAAGCTCTGTTAAATTGTTGTTATTATACATTTTTATCTTTTTAAAATTAATGTGAAATTGGGAACGCCTAAATTTGTCATCCGTATTTCAGTTACAATGTACAACATGTAATAAATCATACTAACAATAATAAAAAGAGTAATATCACAGATAATATAGCTTATCGCCTCAGACCCCGCTTTAAATGTTGGAAATTGGCAACCTAAAAAGGATGCATGGTAAGAGTTAGTCAGCATCTAGCAATAAAATTTAGCGTGGTAACTCTTCTACTTGGTAATAGGAGGCAGTTCTAGCGGTGGCTTTGTTGCCAAAAATAATAACTGCCAAATAAATTCAATGCATTTAGTTACGTTATTGAAGAGTTATATGGAACTTATCTTTTATTTGGCAATGACATTTTGTGTTAAATGCTAAATAAAATAAATCAAGTTAAAATTAAAACTATGAATTTACCTAATTAATTATTTATTTCAAAGCAATTAAAAAATGTAAAATATCCTTAAGAACAGTACCTTAATTCTTTATTTAATATAATTCTTAAAAATAATTTTTCTTCTAAAATAATTCTTTTATTTAATAAATTGCTGGAACCTCAAGGGGTGATTGATACGAAATTTATTAAAAAAAAAACAAAAAATCATCAATCAATGAGAGACTTCGCTACTGCTGTTGCAATTATTGACTAACTTTTTTGTTTTTCGACAGACAGACCTCAGACCTTTTCCATTCAACGCAGACTGGATAATCACAACCTGGGGTGTGGGGAGTTACGAGCAAAAACCGTTTTTTTCTCATACGTTGTGACGTAATAGCTCGATGACGAAGGTTAAAAAGGCCACGCGCTCTACCCCACGCTCCCTCCCTAGGTGTCCTGAAGATGCTGGTGAAGTCCCAGAGACTCCTGAAGACAGCAGAGAGAGAGGGAGAGAGAGAAAAGTCCTCTATGAGGACAAAGTCTCTCTGTCTCTATCGCACACAAACAGACAAAAACGACAGAAACGAACCTTCCTTTAAAAATACACGGGATTTATTATTATCAGGATAACCCATTTTAATTTAAAAAATTAAAAAAAAATTAAAGTGGGTTACTCTGATGACGAAAAATAAAACATAGTTAAACTGTATTATTCAAATATCAATAATGTGCAAAAGTTCTTCAGGAATATCGGCAAATTTATTTTGGTGGATGAATTCCGTCAACGAACACCGTAAAAAATATTATTAGAATCCTTAGATGGCCAGAAAAATTCGTCATGGTGATTCGTATTTCCTAATCAAGCAAAAACTTTTACCAAGAATACTTTTTTTCGTATCTTTCTTTTTCTGGTCCATTGGTCCTCTTGAAAACTCAATCCGCCAACATACTGTATATAATTTAATGTTTTTCAGTTTATAAGAAATTTTCTTTTCATTTTGTATGCTATATTTAAATGATTAACACGGTTATATTTATCCAAATATTTTATTTACTGGATTGTATTTAGATTAAAAAAAAAACAGGCAGATATACCGACAGCTGATAATTGCAACAAAGGATATCCGATTTTGGTTAAAATACTTTGATAATATTTAAGAAATTTACATAGATATTTATTTAATAGAGTGTGGTTAAACTTCATCCTGTGTTATTTATTTTGCAACATGTTCCATGAAAATCTCATAAATAACTCTGATATAACTAATATTGCAGTTTACTTATATCACATTTTTATTAAGGCCGGCATTTTATATACAAGAAATCGCACTTTCGTAAAGATCTCTTTAATCGATATGTTCATATTCGTGGGAGATTTGCAGGTCCATTATCGCCCAAAGTGATTTATTATTACTACGACTATTTTCTGCGCAGCCCTCATAATCCTCATTTAAACATGTCATGCAAATACCTCTCAAAAGTGTTAATTGTCGGTCTAACCCTGGGGGACAAAAAAAATTAAATTTTTGATAACGACCTACAGCGACTACTTTCTTTTCTATAGTACCCAAACTAAAGAAATGTTGAAATGCAAGTATTTCTTTAATTTTTCGTTGTGAAAGATCACATAAATCATGTAAATATCGAAAAATATTTTCTAAAACTTCCGACAAACAACTACTTCAGTAGAACATCAATTGAAAATTACGCATGAAATGCCTCTCTTAAGAGCTATCTACGGACGATTTGTTTTAATCCTTACTTTCTTAAGGTTCAACCAAAAAAGTGTTTATGGATAACATTTCAGTGCAAATCACATAAGCTTACAACTACGCTATGTAGTTAAAACAGAAATAATGTTTGAAAGAGAAAAAGCAGAAGCAATGAGTAAGTAACAAATAAAAAATGAATTGTTTTATTTGTAACTGATGCAAAATCGTTTTATATGAAGAATAAACGTGATTCAATGAAAATAATTTAATGATATACCTAACAGCGCAATATCTTTCTTTTACGTTATTCTTATAATTACAAATTTAAAAGCGAAATTAGAAAAAGTCATTAGTAAAATAACTTTGTTATTTACTTACCCACTTTGCTGTCTGCGAACAACGTGCAAATATAAAGAATTGAACCGAATTTGAGAATTAAATCCATTCCAGTAAATTTCAGCGACTACTGCTGTAGATATTCTGTAAAAGCTTTTAACGACGGTGGTAGGGGCGTATTTGTTTAAATAAATTATAAATCTAGATACATGCAACCTGCAATGCATCATAACCAATAGGGATATGAAGCTACCAAGCATGTAAAAGATAATAAAATTCTATAGGCCTACAAAAAAACAAAAAAATGTTTTGTTTGATGTTTTATATTTTGGCCTAAAAATTTCTGTATTCACACATGCCTTTAGATGAGCACTTTAATTTTTTGACAATTTTCGATTTTATCAAAAATTTTTAGGGTTCAGAAAAATCTAAAAAAATTCCGGTAGGCAATAACGGCCTTGAGCAATCCAAAACTTCATTCAGTTCTTCTGTAGCTCGTTCTGGTTTTTGATATTTTCGTTTTTTTCCTTAACGGAAGCACTTGCACAAAAACAGACCGTCCCAGCGTGTTCGGCGAGCTCAGGTGCGTATGGTAATGGCTTACAATTAGATGAGTCGCATCTAGAGGTTAGTGCAGTCGATGCCGTCAGATCTAAGGAATGATGCTCCAACAATTTATTTATTTATTTATTTATGTATTCATTTATTTTCCTTTCATGACTATAAAATTATTGTATAGGAATGACCATAAAAAAACCTTAGGTCTAATACTTAAAACAAACAAAAAAAACATAAATTTAAAACACATTGCACACATTACACATTACCTTACATTAAAATGGGCATTTGTTGCTTAAATTGCCATAAAAGTAATAAAGTGAGTTTTTTATGTATGTAGGTAGATAAAAAAATAAAAAATCTCGTTTCAGAATAAATTTATTAATCTCAAAATTACATGTAAAAATTACTGGTTGCTCTATAATTAAATGTACTTTAAAATCTACTATAAAATAATACTTTAACATAATAGATGATTATGTTCCATCATTGATGAAATTTTATACTGATTTATTCTACTACTGCTAGTTCATCGCTGCTGCATTAGCAGCAGTTGTATTTCCTTCCTCAGGGTTCAGCTTGGGATCACTTAGTTCGATCATTGGAACTAAACAAATAATTGTATTAATAAAATTACAGTTTGGAGAAAAAATATTTTTGTCTCTGTTTTATTAAACTTCTGATTAGAATAATGACTACTAATGAACTACTAACACGTATCTAAAATTATATACTCGCATATACTTTTTGTAAAATTTTGAATCTGAAATAGCTTTAAGTTAATGAAAATTTTTTGAATCAGTCACCATTTGTCGAGATGTGATAACAATAACAGTAAAAACAATATTAGTTTATAAAGTTACAAACCGTCTTCCATTAGGCCCAATCTTGCATTGGGCTTCATACAGACGTAACCTGAATCTTCGGATAATTCTTTGGTCGCTATTTCATTTACATAAGGAGATGAGGGGGTCCCAAATGTAAGAGGTCTTAGCATAGCTAAATAATCGCTCTCACCATCTCCAAGACGTTGAGTGTTCATCACCAGGTATGGGTCGTTTAGGTCAATGTAGTGCTGAAAATCAAAAGTGGTGAGTGAGTGAATGAGTAGAAAAATTAGAAAGTAGTTTTTAAGTGTAAATTGTCAATAATTTTGCACGAAATAAGTATAAAGGTTCCATTAGTAGTAGTGTTGATGTTATCGATACTCTCTAGTTGTGCTATCTCAGTACTACTTGGAATAGCAATATAATTTTTTTATTACATCATATTTTACCCTGTTCATTTTATTATAATATGGAAACATTTCAAATACGACAAAATAATTCAACTTACTTTTCGCACTGTCTCTCCTAGTAAATTCCCCAACAATTTCGACAATTTTTCGAATGAAGGTCGATCTTCAGGCTTATGAGACCAACAAGCTGTTATTATTTTATACCTACGAGAAAATATAAGGAAAATAATATTTTGTAGTACAAACCATAACATTAGTTATGTTTAAATTAAAATATGTATTTTTCGTTAATATTCAGTTCACAGTCAAATTGTCAAAATTTCCTTCATGCGTTTTAAAGTCTCTTGGATAAAATGGAGAGAGATGGGCTAATTTAAGACGAAGGAAAAGACAAAGTGAAGCTAATTTTTATTGAATGGAATGTCTTACACCTCTTTGGATGCATATTGCGGCGATTCCATCCTATACCCATCCATCAATTTTCTAAAAAATATTTCATCTGCTTCCATGCCTGGATAGGGAGTTTTGGCCAATGAGAAGAATTCCCACAGGACTACACCAAATGACCAAACGTCAGATTGAGTTGAAAATATTCCGTCCGTTATCGATTCCACTGCCATCCACTTTACTGGTAAAGGACCCTACACAGAAGCAAGATTATTCACCCATTGTTTTTAAAAAATCCCAATTGCATTATCTAAACATTGCGTCTTTTAGAGTGGATAAAAACGTAACCTTTACATTGAAGCAAGTTATCCAGTTACACAAGGATACTTGTTTTCTTGACATGGATGAACGAATCTACATACAAAATCGTTTGTGCAGACAAAAAGTATGAAACCATTGATTGATAGTGAAAATATTAAATTACGTTATCTGAAATACAATTAATACTTTGTGAAATACATCTATAAAGGGTAGAGTATTGCTTCAGTTTTAACTAATATTGATTAAATAACTTAGGTAGGATTAAGCAATGAACTCACATCGCATTGTTTTTTGTAATTCATATTTTTGTACGTGCTTCTTGATAGACCGAAATCGCAGATTTTGACAACATTGTCATTGGTCAGAAGTATGTTCCTCGCTGCCAAGTCTCCATGAAGAACCTAGAAGAATTCAAATTTAAATAGCTTCCGATAATTGATCAGTACCAACGAATTACCTTTCTCGAAGCCAAATATCCCATGCCTCTGGCAACCTGAAAAGACCAAGTCAGGAGATCTTTTGTGCAAATTGTTTTGCCAGTGTCCTTGTTAAGAGTTATTCCATCTTCACCTGCATGAAAACGAACTAATTGATTTTGATTGAAGCAACTATTATTGTCGAAAATGTCTTGGTAGTTTTATTTGAAAGTCATATATAATTTCATTAAATCATATTTCTATGCCACATTTTAAAAATTTAGAATGCCTAATAATGATGATTTACTTTACATTTTCAATTATTCAGAGGAAATCTAGCTTCAGGATACAAGAAGAAAGACAAAAGATAATATTTAGATACTTACTTTGGTATATTTCAGCCATATTTGTTGTGGGACGTACATCAATATTAGGATTAGTTCGATAATCAGTTATATCACAAGAAGTTGGTACAACTGATTTCTTATTATCTTTGGATAATCTCATATCAATATATCCGAGTGAATTTAACTGGACGTTACTAAGGAAAACATATTATCAACCAACTACACATGTCTGTATGACTATGGATAAAAAAAATATATAAATGCAGATTCTTACCCTTCGTTATCAGAGTCTGAAGTCCAATTTAAACATTTCTGGCTAGTCACATAATTTATCCTACCAGATTTTGAATCTACTTGGTCTAAGTAATTTTCTCTATGCTTAAGAAGATAATTATGCAGGTTTCCAAATTGACAGAATTCGACGATTACCAATAATTCTCCTAAAAGTTTGTATTTGTTTGCCATTCCCTTTCGTATTTTTTTAAATGTGTATTTAATTGAATATTTTACTGATCTTCTGCAATGGCGCAGTTGTTTTTTGGGAAATAAACCAAAAATAACTTACTTTTAGCGACATTTTTCGTACAAGCTCCTAGCAAGTTGACGATATTTAAATGTTTTCCTAGATGGATCATTATTTTCAGTTCCGACGCTAGCGCCTTGATACAAGCATGGTCGGTATTCTTTTTAACCATTTTAACAGCCACGGTAGTTTCGTATTCTCTTTCCACAATATTTTTTGCCACAGCTTTCATCACTACACCAAAAGCACCCGATCCTAGTTGCTTATCTGTGAAAGTGAGCAATTTAGAGGATAAGGTTTATGAATTTATTAAAATATACAAGGTGAAACCTATGTTGGACATTTTTTGTAGGAATGTGTAGATCTGAAGAATAGAAGATATTTTTTTTAGAACTTCTTCCCAGAAGTCCAAAAATGAAAGAGCAATTAGAGATCCAGTCCCTTATTGAATTAAAAATAAATATATAAATAAATAATGAATATGCAGCAGCTCGACTGTAGAAATGTTATTGTTATTATTCATTTTTATTTCATGATTTCTCAGCAACATGGATTTGCCAAAGGCAGCATTAACTAACCTGCTTCATTTTCTAAAAGTTAGCAGTGATTAGAATCTGGTAGAAATAATTTATCTTGATTTTTGACAGAGTTCCGAATCGTAGTTTTTTTTATATAAACTGAAATACTGTGATATTTGAATATTTGACAGATAGATATATTAATGACAGAGTTGACACGGAATTCTCTGAAGGCCAGTAACGCCACAGGGTTCGGTTCTTGGCCCATTGTTGTCTATTATCTATGCCAGTGATATTCAACACTGCCTCGAATTCAATACAATTTTTCACCGACGACCCTTAAATATTTGCTGACCCTACAACTAATTAACGTTCAGAACAACATAGATCCTTTCTAGCGATGGTACTCAGAACCTTGAAAATGTTCCGGACCTCGCCCAGATCTAGGGATCTACACTTTTATTATGTCCACCACAAAACAGATCCGCTCTGGTCTATTAATAAAATGCAGAAATTTAAAATTCTCACCCAGCTTCAGATGTTCCCTTGGAAACTCCCATTTCTGATCATAAGGTAGAAGATCAGCCTGTTCATCGATACCAAGCTCAGGATTGATATTTTCCACAGCACCGTTTCGAAAATTAGTCAGGCCTAAAATTTCAAGTTCCCTTTGCTGTTGCTGTAAAATGTGAATAAAGTTAACAAGGAAATTTGAACTGATGAAAATGTAGATTTAATGAACTCTTGATTTGCCGTATTAGCCTGCTGTGGATAATTGAAATAATGAATTGGTGGATATACTATTGAAGTACGAAGTACGGTGAATATAGACAAAATATTGCGGTAGCAGAACCTATGTACGTAAATCGTTTTCCACTTCGTCATACTCTGAGTATTGGAAGATTTGTTAAACTCGGTCAACGAGCATCTGAGGCGGTGTAACCTCAAATGGCAAAATCCAGCACTTAACTATGATATGTTATGTGAGAATAGGATGGTCTTTCCCTCTAGACTCTATCGGTTCTCAATATGGTCGCATTTTTTTTAAGTAAAGTTAGTGTTTCAACTGACAGAATTGTTGTTTCCCACGTTTCACTGATGGATATAAAATAAGATTACCTTTTCTCTTTGGATTTTAAAGACGATAAATATTATGGTCCCAATGGATATCAAGCTAAGCAATATAATTATAGTTAAAAACCAACCATAGGCCGCTTGAGGAAGATCTAAAAATGAAATATTGATTAAGGAGCGAAGGAACTTTTTTAACTTTAAAAAATACTTTTAAATTTTACTGTTTGCTGCTTCGTGACACTGCCCAGTCTGTTCTTTGCCTCACATTTGTAAGTGCCCTCATCTTGTGCTGCAGTGTGCGCAAACGAGATTGTTTCCTTATCTTGAGAAATGTGGATCCGTTTTGTTTCTGATGTTTGAAAAGCAACACCATTCTTAAAGCAGAAAGCGTAAAATAATTCTACTAATACCGAACTGAGATTAATTTACCTTATACCACTTTATAGTAGGTTTTGGAATTCCAGAAACTTTACAAAATAACACTAGTCTGTCTGGTAAGTTGATTTCCCTTTTCTCTTGCAATGTTGTATTGATGATTTGGAGTGGCTCTGGACCTAAAATATGCAGGGTGGTACATAATACAATTTTGTGAATTAGGAATATCGTCGCTATAAAAAAACTCTTCAACTTCATTTAACCTATCAAGTGAAGTTTTTATTTTCAGTTTTTGGTTTGGTTGTGAATGGGAAGACGATGACATATTAAATTTAAGTTTGTGACAACATTAATTAGTAATAAATATTTCTTTGTTCAATTGCACTTACTTGTTACGTTGAAAGTCATCTTGTGCGACAGATATTTTCCACTCTTGTTAGTAATCCTGCAACTGTACACTCCGCTATCAGAAATACTTGGATGTTGCAGTTCCAACTCAAGTTTGTTGGAATATTTCGTACTACTCTTAGTAAGCCTGATTTCTGAAGTTAATACAAATATTGTTTCATATTCAAATCACCACAGTTTTTCGGGTTGTTATACTGTGACCTATCTATCTGGTCGTCCCCAGACCCGCCCCTGTTGTTCTTAGACTAGTCTTTACGGAGACCCCCAAACTTTCGCCGTTCCTCACCGTCGGCATATCCAGTGACCATTGCAGATGCCTTATTGCATGAGTCCGAATCATAACAACCCGAAAGACCATGAAACTATAAATATCAGCGCGTGGTGCAGAAGCCTTAATTTAACTAATTTATTTACATCCATGATAATCTACTACGTAAACGGAAAATCGAAATAGTATATTACGTAATAAGTGCTGTAAAAAGCATTTTACGCACGAATGGAAAAGTTACGCACGACACCGAGTAGCGGCGACTGCGTAATTCTATGAGTGCGTAATTGCATTACACCACGTATTACGTACTATACTTTACCTACAACCACTACTGTAAATACTTAAAAACACACCGTCTGCGATCAATGTAAGATTCCTATTTTACGTACGGTAAAAAAATCGCACAGCTTGGTAAAAAAATCGTACAGTTTTCCTAGCAACGGTCAATACAAACAGTATTGTATTGACNACAAAACTTCCAGGAAGGGTTTTATTAACAATAAACAAAACAAACAAACAAAATAAAAACACAACGGCTCGACGACATTATTAATTAATTGATTCAATCGCGACAGCGTACCGAGATTCAGGGAATGCGCGCTCTATACAAAATTTAGAAAAACTATCAAAATTAATTAATTAGCCCGAGACTTTAAAGTTAATAATTAGTCTGCTCAATGTGAAACTTAAGAACGAACTGACTTTTTCGAGATCCTTCCTGAATTCCACAATTCGCTCTGACCACGCCCATTTCTTGGGTCCAGAAGTTTCGGTTCTTATCTTATTGGCGGGGACCTGAATATCGGGATGCTTTAATAATTATCTAATTGACTGGATTTACATTTATAACAATAATTATTATATGACTTCTAGTGACCCTAGCCTTCCCCTATGACTCCGCGTAGCAATTACGGGACGGATTAGTCGATCTCATTTAATCTACTCTTATAGCTAGGAAAAATCCGTCAAAAAAACCCAGCTGCTTAAGTATACTCGCTTTTCGAATTACTATCAATTTTACAATATAATTTTATTCTAATTTGAAATCTCCACGCTCTTCTTGTGGTTTCGCGCGTTACTAAATATCGATTTTTTTCTCATACTAGACGCTTAACACATGGCCCCGACAGTTTAAGTAAACTCGTTAAAAAATATAGGCAAACTTCTCCGAAGGACGATCTTGGCGACCTACTTGAAACCCATTAACCCTCCGAAAATTTGTGACGACTGAAATATCTTACTTTCCGTTCCGGGAACTAATAAATAAATGACTGCGCGTCCCGCCTTTTGTTACAAAGTATATTTACCGTCATTATTAACCAATAGTTTGTCATTAAACAACCAGTTAATATCAGAGTACATTTGATTTGAAGCACCACATGTTACCGCAGCTTTGTCTCCTTCAGCAATGGTTACCACTTTATCTTCCTCATTTATATCCACATCGCTGTCCAAAGTAAAGACATCAAAACCATTTTTAATATCTGAAAATGCAAGGATAGTATATTCTGTAACTAGGTTAGAATGAAAAAATTCGATACGAGTGGAAGATTCCGAACGCTAGCTTTAGTGAGCGTGAGGAAGTACATAAGGTTGAAAATCGATCTAGTAAAAATATTGAGAAATAATACATAAATAATTAAAATATGTTATTGGCCAAATGAACATCAGCTCAACATTTTGTTTCCATCGCCTACTGACCTCAAAGTTTTAAATCCGTGACACTGCTATGCAAACCGAAACATACAGACCTGCAAATAATGCCATTTTTCTCAAGACTGTCTTTCTGTAGGCGATTTTCTCAAGAGACAATAGTTTTTTAAATAAAGCGATCTTTTTAATGTTGCTGCTCGTTTAAAAAAGTACGACCAGTGTAAAAGTTTTGACCGTTACAAGGGAGAGGTAACCAGAGAAAACTGTCACCCAGTATATCGATTTGACTAAAGTTTTAAGAAATAATACTCTATAATAGTCCAAATAAATATACCAAATTTTAATGCGATCGGTTATGAAGTTATTAATTAAATTACTTTTATTTTTGACAACTTTGAAGGCCTGTAACTCAAAAACCAACTTTTTTTTCGTAGATCGTATTTATTTACCGTCGTGAATATGCAGTCTAACGTTGTCGGTGAAATTTGCGGACACCCTGTACATGCACCTTACAAAATAATGGATGCAAAAAAACTCACCTGATACGTAAATTGTTTTTGTAACAGATGAGATTCCCCTGTAATTTTTTGCTAAACATTTCAACTGTCCGTTTTCGGTTACGTTGATGGCTACTTCAGATACGAATTCAAATTTGTTAATTTTAGATACCGTACCATTTACCTATAAGCCCAAATTTTAGTATCTTTTTCGACAATGCATGCAATGTTAAATCATTCATCATATTCAAAAATATCTACTTTCTTAATAACTTTGTTTGACAGATCAATGAGAAAATGTGTAATTACCGGTACATAATCGCAGGCAGTAGATTGACAAAATTTTAAGTACCACTGGAACTGCGGTTCTGGATTAGCATAAGCGTAGCATTGCATTGTGCTGCTACTATTGAGTAAATAGAAGAGCTTTACATTTAAAGACATTTTTGGTTTATCTGGAACAAACATTATTTATCATAGTTAGCTTAGTAAAAAAACTAAAATATTTTATCTGCCCCCATTGTAATAAATAGACTATTAATACATTGTTCTTAAGGAGGTAAGTGGATTTTACCGTAGAAGTAGAAGTTGCGATGGACAACAGGAGGTGAGTGAGGTAACTTACCTCCCTAGGGAAAAAAACGATTTCGAGTTATAAATGCATATTTATTAACAAATAAGTGTCTTTTGATTGCTAATACATCAACTTCTGTATTAGCCAGTAATGTTGCCGATGTCCTTCGGAATGAATGGCCTGTATATGTTTCAGGATGTTCTAGTTTCAAAAACTGTGCAGCCTTATTAGGGATCATAGAAAGGGTATTCCTGTCGACTGGTTGGCTGTAAAATCTACCTGCTTGATAGCGCATAAAAAAACATGAAATTTCAGTTTCAATTTTCAATCTAATCTTGATATATTTCTTGAGAATTTCTAGGTGGGAAACAGAACCAAGACGAGAAGTAATTGTAAACGTCCATGACATACCATTTTAAGAATCTGGAATTGTAACTACAATATGTCATCGAAATTTTTGAAATTGACGTCCAAAGTAAATTTGCATAACTCATCAGAACGGCATGCTCCGTCACTACCTTCATTAGCAAATATGTGTTATCGGGTGCCTGAACGAGAAAATCGTTGACTCTTGTAAAAGCGTTTGATTTTTTAGGTGTATAGCCGTTGTTCTCACGTTTCAAAAATTCTCTCAGCTTGGGGTATTTTGATATATCCACGTTCTCCTCTGTGAAAATAGTTACTTAATCATTGAGCATTCACTCCACAAACTCGCCGGTGACTTTAAAGTTCTTGACTTCTCCACGAAATATGCTAGCAGTGGCATTTCAGAAACACCAGTATTTTTGTTCTGGCACCATTCTTTGAAATTTCTATATACTCGTTCATAGCGCACTTTCGACTTCTCGGGCAATAAAATTCGCAGGCAGTATTTGCTGCACTTTCTATTTGAAAATCACTCATTTAGAAATAATAATCAAAACCAGCAAAATTGCAACTTTTGTGTAGCTTTATTTATACCTTAGAAACAACAAAATCCAAACAATCAAGGCGCTTTTGTAATATTTCGAATAATGTCATAATGAATTGATTATGAAATGTCAAAAAATAAAACCTAGTCTTTATTTCATGAACCATAAAGTGGGAGCAGATAAAATGTTATACACCACGCAGCTGTTAAGTATAATTTACCTGTCTCGGACTCTATTGCCAGCCCTCGCTCCGCTCGGGCGCAAAATCGTCATCGACTGGTAAATAATACTTACCTTCTTTTATTATGGAGTAAATAACTATTAGGTCTATTACTACTTATATGTTACATTTAGTTTTTATGTCGCAAAGTTGTTAGTTAACGTTTTTCCTTCATCTTGGTCTAGATCCTAACCACCTATTTTAGGTTGGACCCCTATGTAAGGTAAAATATTTGATGGTTGGTTAGTTTTGATTATATCAATTTTAAAACAACATCAAAATACATAGAAATTCGTTAATTAGCTTTCAAATTAAAATAAAAAGAATACCATTTCCACTTACCTGTAACATTTAGATAAAAAATCCTATTTTCACTATCTCTACTAACGACCAACAAAGTGAAATTACCGGTATCAGTAATGGTAAGGTTTTTGATTTTCAAAATAGCTCTACTCGCAGAAGAATTGTACCAGGCTTCATATTTGCTACCGTATTCCATTGGTATTGATTCGTTTCTGTTGTTAAACCTAACAAAGTAAATTTTAATGTTAAATATGTAGGTTACAAATTTGATTGATAATATTGTGGGAAACAACCAATTTGCGAGCTACATACTTCGTCCAGCATTGATTTACTTCCCCAGTATCTAGGAATAGTAGTAGTTATAATCACAAGATTATAAGAATATAGTACCTCGATAATACTTCTTCTATGACCCGTACCTTAGACATCACTTTAATAAAGCTAAAGGAAAAATATACAGTGTATATCAGCCAAACATTAAAAAAAGAAAATTATTTGATTCCAGAAATTCGCTACAACACACTCAAAAACTAATAAGTAATATTGTTTATTTATTGAAAAGCAAAAAAAACATTAATGTCAATGTAGGAGATGTTCAAAATGCTCGCCACGTCTTGGCAACATTCTAATTTTAAATAGAAATTTCTTCTAACATTTCTCAACATCTCAGGTGTGAGCAATCTAATCGCAAGTGTTACTCATCTTCTTAAGTCAGCGAAGTCGAAGGGTTTAGTTTTGTATACAATACTTTTGACATATCCCCATAAGAAGAAGTATAACGGTGTCAGATCAGGGGATCGTGCTGGCCATTCCATCGATCCTCGCCTCCTTATCCACCGATTTGGAAATATTCGGTTGAGGTACTGCCGTACATTGATTTGGTAATGGGAAATAAGTATTGAGTGTGTTGCAGCGAATTTCTGTAATCAAATAATTTTCTTTTTTTTTAATGTTAATTTTTAATAAATCTGAAAACACTTAACATTTCCGAAACAATTGAAGATAGGACATTGTACATGAAATTTGTCTAGAATTTTCTGAAGAATTCAAAAATTGAATAAAATATAAGGTGTTGCATTTTAGATAAGAAAGTTGGTTTTGATCATTATTACATGACACACCTTGTATAAAAAGTTTCTGTTGAAAAAAATGCGCAACTAAAAATACCAATCGACGTGTCCGAGTGTTTTTTCGAACACGCCCCATTTATTTGTTACTGAAATTATCCCATTTGGCTAATGCACACTGTAGGTATATCTAATAATAGTAAAAAAACACAAAGAAAAAATCTACGACTAGGCGGAACTTCAATAAGTGGAAACCGACTGGAGAACTTACAGAAATGGAAACTCTAAATTGTCTCTGTATATTTTCCTAGTTCATCTCTAACAGAAGAAAGTGAAGAGGTGTTAGGCACAAAGGTATTGACAGAATTGAAAAAGCAGACGGATTGACAAGAAATATTAAGCTGGCAGCGGTTGGCATTCGTTACAATAGTATCAGGTTATAGGAGATTTGTGCGAGATATTGTGAATAATGGGGTTCAAAATCAAAACAAATTCAAGCGAAGAAAATGTAGATACATACCATTTAACGATGGGTTTTGGATGACCCCTAACTGTTAAGTTCCACTGAACTGGAGGTTCTCCCGCAGATGTCAATGTAGAGTTTGCAGTGCCATTTTCTGTTTCCACAGTAAGAAAATGTTCATTCGTATCTAAAAATGAAGATAACTTTAATCAAATTCATTATGACAAAATACTGTTCTTACCAAAGACTTTGATGTCTACTTTAGAGTAAGAAATGTGTTGTTGATTATCGGTAATATTACAGAAATATGTTCCACTGTCTGATTTTACAATGTTATATATTACTAAAGTTCCCACTGATAATTCTCCCTGTCTCACTACTTTTATGACATGCGTTCGGAATGCCTAAAGAACAAACAGTATTCAATAAGCTGCAACAGATATGAGGAAAAATTTTAAAATAGGTGTAGCAAAATCTAATAGCAGACAGAACTTGTTAAAATGGTAAACAAATTTCATTAATGTTTGTCGATATGTACGTTCCTCGTAAATATTAACTATAAATTTTATAGGGTGTCCCAGAAAGACTGGGACACCGCTAGAAGCAAAATTAGGTAATTATTAATTAATATGGATGAGGTATTACATGTAAACTAGATATTGTGGGTGTAATTTAATGCTGATTAAGTATTGCTACATAGTTACTTCACATAAATAACTTTTCCTTTGTAATATACATAAATAGTTCTAATTTAAAATACTGTGAATACGGGGTGTTAGAAATTTAACTGCCTTAATTTTAACAGACGATAGAATACATTAAAATAAACAAAAGAACCTTATGACATGGGTCCTAAACTCAACCATTTCTGAGAAAAAAATTATCAAAATCTCCAAGTTGATGTACAAAAGTTCGATTAATTAGGGAATATTGACATAACTGCGTACATAGGATACCATAAAATACAATGGTTATCACTTTTTTGAACTACTTTACGCTTAATTCTAAAAACTAATTAGCGTTGTAATAAATTTAAAATTCGATAAAATTCATATCGAACAATGTGTGCTTAACACGAGGTACGAAGCAGTCCAACAACCAGCAATACGTAATTCAGTTGGTATCTGGAATTGGCCCGTGTCTGAATGTTTTTTGCGTACTACTATTTCCTTTTCTTGCTTGTTTTCCAGCGTATGCGCGAAAATTACTGAATTTTACTTTTTGGTAAGTACCTAAATTATTTTTAATACGTATGATTATTTGGACGACGTGAATTTTTGGGAATTTTAATTACATATTTTTCAAATTCATAATTTGATTAAAAGTTCCTGTTTCAAGAGATTCATAATTACTAAAATTCGAGCTAAAATTTAAGCACAACACTATCTTCGTACTACAAAATCGATACATTTTATTTTATTTATTTAAAAACTGGAAAACTATTGTCTTGAAACTTAAGAAATGTTTCACAATACTAGTTAGATATTTGTTATTCCGAAGGACAAGTTTGCCACGTACACACGTGGTGTGCATCAGCTGTGTAACATTAGGTTAAGCACTGTTGTCACGTTGTGATGAAACTCCCCAGTAACTCGCTGTATTTTGAAAACTTTTAAGCTTACGTCCCAGTAATATAGAACTTTTTTGTCCATTTATGATTCATCTTTGTCATACTAAAGTAATAGCAGTCAAACTTCTAACACCCTGTATATTGGGTGTCCCAAAATTCACGCAAGATTTGAATTTTGCGCCATTTGTGCGGTTGACAACGAAAAAAAAGACAACGTGATAGCTAACAATTCAAGGTTATTAAAAATTAACAACGCGTTTTCATTGTTGAGCAATATTTTAAAAATAATGAAGGTTTGGCCACTGAAGTTTGCAATTTTCTCACAAAATATGGTCGGAATAGTTATTTAACTTCATCAACTATGAAGAGACTAGATCGATTAGTGATTTTAGAGACTTTGGCCATCTTTTAATAAATTGTTCAACATAAAACATCGAAGCAATTCGTGAGAGTGTTGCTGAGATTCCAGGAACAATTAGATACCGTGGTCAAGAATTGGACATTTCGACAAGCTCTCTATAGCGTATTCTCACAAAACATATGCATTTTCATGCTTACAAAGTTCAATTGACTCAAGAACTGAAGAGGGATTATGGAAGAAGTGGCTGCTGATTTTCATCTTGATGGTTTCGTTAATCGACAAAATTGTCGCACTTCGGGTGAATGATGAGAAACAAATGCGTACGCAATGTGCTAGTGTTTGGTGCGGATTCTTCTTCGAAAATGCGGCTTATAAGGCAACATGTAGTTCCAACAAGACATACAGCCCGAGAAACGATACTATTACATGGGTCATTTCCTGGTCGTGTAATTTCCCGTTATGGTGTTCAGAATTGACCGCCCAGATCAGGAGATTTAAAGCCGTTGGACGAAACCATGGATGCCATTTACTCGTTATGCTATTTCATACGTAACCTTATACTGTGTACTCTGAATCAATAAAATAATTTGCAATTTTGAATTGAAAACGTGTGTCTTCTATAAAAATTACTTCTTACATGAATTTTGGGATACCATTTAATTACATCTACCTGGCTTGGTGTTCCCCAGTGAAAATGTACATCATTTTTCGCTGATATGGTACATTCTAGAGTTAATTCTCCTCCAACATCTGTGTGACCTTCGTTCAAGTCTTTCAGATGTGGTGCTGGTAAGCGACTGATAGATGCTGGAAAATAATTTTATAGGCTTATTAATTTACTGTTTTTATATATATTTTTTTTTATATCAGATGGTTGTAAAAGGTTGAACTAGAAAACTGGATTAACAATAACGTAAAGTGGTATGGAATTTCGAATTACTACTTTTTTATTTGAACCGTGCAAATCTAGTTTAGTGAAATACAAACAGTTAAAATATTGAAATTTATATTGAAGTTGCTATAACTCAGTACATACATACTGGTAGGTAAACTAGATTATTAAAGAGATTAAAAACAGTATCTAAAGGAAATAAAACAACTGTCACGCTTATCTATTCTGGATTGGATTTTTGAGAGCAAAATCTACAAAGTTTTACATCAAATTGAGGTGTGCTGTAGTGTTTTCAGGGCAATGGAAAACAATTATGTCAATACTTTTTCACTTACTTTCTATGGTCACTAGAACTGGAAAGTATTCCAATTTGAGTTCCTTCAAAAACCCACAGTAAAACGATTGTTTGCCAGGAGTTTTTGTATCCCTTGTGAAAAATCCATACTTAGGATCATAATCGTAAAGAGTTTCATCTGGGACCGTCTTCTGCAGTAAGGCCACCTTTTAAATTGGTAGAAGAATTAGAGTGATTTCCAGATTTTACCAACAAGTAGCGGTAAAAAATATGCATATGAATTTGAGTAAAATTATAAAAGTATTAAATTTAAATAAATAAAAAAATATACAGGGTGTCCCGTAAAGTATGTTACAAACTTTGGGTGGTGATAGTACATAAAAAAATATGACTAAAAACTCTAATAAACATAACCTCTTAAACGCACCATTTTGAAGTTACAGACCTTCAAAGGTGCAACTATAAAAGTAGTTTTTATGACGTAACTCTTTGTTGGAAAAAGAAAACTTAATGAAATTTTTAGGGGCTAATCAGCTTTAGGAAGCCAATAAATAATGTGGATATTAATAAAATTGAGAATGCGGAAGGGTGTTTTTTTATCACCCTGTATCCTATTTTTTGCCAAAAAAAATTTTAGATACAGCAAATATCATAAGATTTTTAGAAAGACCATTGAATTTAGAAATTTTTTTGTCTCTTGCATTTTTTATGTAAAATTATTAGTTTTCTAATAAATTTACAAAATGCAAAGGGAGTTTACTCACCGCTAGGTGTTAAATTTGACGTATTCAAAAAGTAGGCGCCTGTCACTTTTAACATAGTTGACATTTGTTACCATATTTTAATCATGTCTGTTGACGAATTATTAATTTGTGAGTACAATGGCGGATAACAATCGTTTTACTAATCAAGAATATGCCGAAATGCATTTTATTTATGGATTATGTAATGGAAATGCAACAGCTGCTCGAAGAACATACATAGAACGTTATCCGCAGAGACGTCAGCCGTCTACACAATTATTTACTCGGATTCACAGACGGATTATTGAAACTGGTAGTGTGGTACCCCGTTACATACATTGTGGTAGAATTGCTAGAAGACTACCCGCGCAAGATGAACAAATTTTGAGATCTTTTGAACAAAATCCGGGAGAAAGTGTGCGAAGGGCAGCTAATCAGTTACAGCTTTCCAGAATGTCAGTTTGGCGTGTTTTGAAGGAAAACGGCCTTTATGCCTACCATCTCCAAAAAGTGCAACATTTAATGCCTGAAGATCTTCCCCGACGCCTAGAATTCTGCCGAATAATACTTAACCATCACCAACATAATGTGGAATTTATTAGCTCCATTTTATTTACCGATGAAGCCACCTTTACACGAGATGGTTTACTGAACTTGCACAATGCACATGCATGGTCAGACGAAAATCCTCATGCTACCATTGATAGTCATCACCAACACCGATTCTCAGTCAACGTATGGGCTGGAATAATAGGTGACTATTTGCTCGGGCCTTTCTTTCTACCTCAAAGGCTTGATGCAGTAGAATATTTAAACTTCCTAGAAAACCATCTCCCTGAGTTAATGGAAAATGTTCCTTTAAATTTGAGACAATACATGTGGTACCTCCATGACGGGGCACCTGCGCATTTCAGTGTTCATGTTAGAGAGTATCTACATATGCGGTTTCCTAATCGATGGATTGGAAGAGGATATAATGCACCAATAGCCTGGCCACCGCGATCACCGGACTTGAATCCTGTCGATTTTTATCTTTGGGGACACGCGAAATCTCAAGTTTATGCAACCCCTGTTGATACAGAAGATCAACTTAGACTGCGAATTGTAGAAACCTTTAATTTAATAAGAAATAGTCTATTCATATTCCAAAGAGTCAGATTTAACTTTATAAAGAGACTGACAGCATGTATCGATGCAGAAGGAGGTCAATTTCAACATTTATTATAATAACATATTTTGTTTTAGTTCTGTTTTGGTTACTTAATTAAAAAAATTATTTTGGAAATTGATTGTATTCTTAAAAATTCACTAGGCTTAAGAAATGTATGTAAATAATTCGGAAGCACTCATCTCTCTGCATTTTGTAAATTTACTAGAAAACTAAACATTTTACATAAAAAACACAAGAGACAAAAAAATTTCTAAATTTAATGGTCTTTCTAAAAATCTTATGATACTTGCTGTACCTTTGCAGAAAAATTTTTTTTAGCAAAAAATAGGATACAGGGTGATAAAAAAACACCCTTCTGCTTTCTCGATTTTATTCATATCCGCATTATTTATTGATTTCCTAAAGCTGATTAGCCCCTGAAAATTTCATTAAGTTTTCTTTTTCCAACAAAGAGTTACGTCATAAAAACTACTTTTATAGTTGCACCTTTGAAGGTCTGTAACTTCAAAATGGTGCGTTTAAGAGGTTATGTTTATTAGAGTTTTTAGTCATATTTTTTTATGTACTATCACCACCCAAAGTTTGTAACATACTTTACGGGACACCCTGTATACGAGTATATAAAAAATCCTGTCAAATGAGGTCTAACAATGTTTTTCTCCGATACCAAATGTCTAGGCATGTAAAAGAAAACTAACATTGAAGTTAACAATTACATAGCCCCACAAACAAAAATGGGTCCGAAAGACAAGACAATGGGATCTACAGGGTGTTCCTCCTAAGAGGGATTCTTCTGTAACTCTGCAACTGTAAAATTTTACAGTTACAGAGTTACAGAAGATAAAAGATAAAGTAAAGCCGTTTTTGTCTAAATAAAAACTAGATAAAATCGAATACGTTGTCAAACACGTGCTTAATATCCACTGAAATGAAATTTCAATGCAATCTTGTAATTAGTGACAAAAGGGACAGCTTTGTCGCTGGTGAAAAGTAATACCAACAAATTAAATATTTTCAAAATATACTGTGACTTACATTGTCCAGAAGGCTACTGTTAATGAGCCTAACTTGTACATCAGGCGATGTTGGTTTGCAAGGAATAACGGCTCCTTTATTTTGAGTCACAATAATCGGTTCTTTAAGTTTCCTCACTGCTAAATGTTCGAGATCTGAAAATGTATACCTAGTTCTAAATATATTTATTTATTATTTATTTTTTGATGAAGCAGAATAGTCATTTTAGTGAGTTGGTTTTATACAGGGCGTTTGACTGCCTTAACTTAAACAGACGATAGAATAAATTAAAATAACCAAAAAATCCTTATATGGCATGGGTTCTAAACTCAACCATTTCTGAAAAAAAATTTATCAAAATCCCCAACTTTATGTACAACAGTTCGATTAATTAAGGAATATTGACATAACTGCGTGCCTAGAATATCATAAAATACAATATTTATCACATTTTTGACCTTCTTTATGTTTAATTTTAAAAATCATTAGCGTTGTAATATATTTAAAATTCGATAAAATTCATATCGAGCAGTGTGACCACGGCGCGGAGATTGACACGAGATACTCAGCAACCAGCAATACGCAATTCAGTTGGTATCTGGACCTTGACCGTGTGGGAGTGTTTTTTGCGTACCACTATTTCCTTTTCCTAAAGTCTTTCTCCTTGTTTTTTTTTTAAATGTTTACCATACGTTCATGCATCGAAAATGGTGGTGGACATTTTGTTTTGTACTTGTGCGTTTAGAAATTACTGAATTTTACATCAGAGACAAAAGAAACAGAAAAATAAAGTTGTTTAATGTAGTATCTAATAATTTTCCGGGGAAATGATGATAACCTATTGTTCCGTATTAACATATACTTACCATGGACAAATAAATATGTACTTGAACTTTCTTCCTCCGTATCACCTTTATCTGCGTAATGGCAGTTGTAAAAACCAACAAAAGGGTAAGTCATGTTAATAATATGCAGTCTGCTGCCATAGCGATAACTGCTGTTCAGTGGTTTGTCAGATAGCGTAATCATTGTGGTCCATGACTGTTTGTCTTCCTTAAATGATTCATAACAAATTAATTTGCACATACATTTATTTATTTTCCTATTGTACTTAAAGTACCTACCTCAAAATAATATCAGGTTTTAGGTATATCCTAGCCTAAAAGTGTTGAAATCGATTGCTTTATGTCACGAGATAATATTTCTCCACAAAACTCGTTATGGCTTCTACATACAAGCACTCACCCTCTTCTCTAAAATCCATTTTAAGTCGTTCGAATATCTCTTTCCCTCTCTCTAGCGGCCCTTCATAAAGACCTTAAGAACCAGTGTTTATTTTTCTCTCTTTTTTTCTTTTTTCTTTTTTCTCTTTCTCTCTGAGGGCTTAGTCTTTACCTGATGCTTTTCAATTTTCAAATTAATTAGTTTCAACAACGATTTGGAAGAAATAAGTTATTTGAATGATTCAAAATGTACTTTGAAGAGGACTAGTAGTACTTTCAGATGCCATAACATTTTTTTTAGTAGAGAAAATTATCCCATGATATAATATAACCTCAGATACAACTGAGAATCTTGTTTTTTGAACGTTTAGGTTAGGATGTCTCGAAAAGATATATAATCTGGTTCCTGGTTTAAAATTTTGTCGGTGTATTGTATTAAGCCATGTTCTCAGATTCTTCATAAAAAAACATGATATCAAGAAAAATCATAATCAAAGAAATCATAGCAAGTTGTGTAGCGGTATCATCGCTATGGTACTTGGTGCTATAGATAGTAAGACAAGTATACAATTTTCCACAAAGCTGTCACATATCGTTTGTCATAATTTTTCATTTGTCTATTTTCATAAGGCATAGCCTGCCTCGTTATGGAAACAATAATCCTTATAACTACTCAGATATTTGGAATTAATAAACAAAATGAATCATTGCAGCTATCAAAAAAATTTCAAAATATAACAAGTACTTTTTTAAAGATAAGCTTGGTATAGTTTTACAATTTAATTTAGGCTTGGACTATGTCAATGTTATTTAGAGAACTAAACAAAGGAAGATGTTCTAGCAAAACTTCACTATTTTAGCAATAACTTATAAATGGTCTATGAAGCCATGGAAAAAACTATATCATTGCATTTAATTTTTAGTAAGCGAAGACAATTACAAAACTTTTCTAATTAGCGTCATCTATTTCCATATCATAAATATATATTTTATTAATAGTTCTTTAAAATAAGTCGTCGTTTCCTAAAATCGATTAAGGCATTTAGAAGTTATGACAATTCAAAAATTTCAATATGGCGTTCTTCATACTGGAGTTGCTATGATAATAACAAAAAAAAAAAAACAAAAATTGTGAGGGGTCTAACAGTGTATCTAAAAAGTGTATTTTCAACTTTCAACGAAATTTCGAAAAAAATACAAATACAAACTTGAAAATATTTTAAATCAATTTCTTTTGGCCTTTTACCCCATCATTGTAGCACGTCTAGTTTTCTATATTCAGCCGCTCCGTACCGTTAATGGATCACCCTGTATATATAAAAATAATAAAATAATAAATTAAATAATAATCGAAATCGTACCTCACAGTAAAATTTGACAGAATCTGAACACCCTAAACATCAATTAAGTAAATGTAGGTATAAACCTAGATTATTTGAAGTCAAATATTTCTTTTAAAATCTGTGAAAACTTTTTTTTACCTCCACCACAGGCGTAGTCCATTTTAAAGGCCTGTCTCCTTGACAAAGTATAGAATGGTTATCGTTTTTGCCAAGTACTGTCGTGTACGCTGATATAATTTCTGGTTTTTCATAGCTGGTAGCTGCAACAACAATTTTTATTAAATTTTTTAGAGATACAGAATAATTTCGACATGCAACAAGAATAAAAAATGTTGGAAGACATAGAGAGACTACAGTTTATCTGCTCAAAAACTGCCGTTTTGTAGTATAACTAATTTAATTATCTTAAAGTTAAGTTATATTGATGGGTATTATTTGTCTACTCTTTTCAGGGTGAGATTTTTCATTAAAATTTCGTTAAAACAACGCTTTTGGCTTAAGACAAAAACTAAAATTATGATACAATCTACATACAATATAATTCGCGATATCAAATTAATTAAACAAAAATTTTAGACAAATAAGTAATATACATTTTTAAGAATACTTACAAGGGCCTAGCGTATTAGCCGCTTCTAATATACAAATGCATACAAAAATAAAACTTAGTTTTTCCTTTAAATACATCACATATATTTTCGAGACAGTTGTGAGCACAGTTAATATATTACAATTAAACTATATTTTAGAAAATTATATGCATATGTTTAATGATATTGCGAAGGAAGTTAAACCGCATCAATTTAACGATTGCAACTTTTTATCTTCAATTCTTTTTACAATAGAATGTGAGTAATTTCCCTTTATTTGACTGCTATTTAAATCGATATTAAGTATGCAGGGTGTCCCTGAAAAGGATGGACAAACGCTTGACCACAGGTTCCTTGGATGAAAATAAGACTATTTAGCCTAACTCACTTAAATACAAAAGTGCACGCTTACTAAGATATAGCCTTCCAAATATATAGGGTGTCCCATAAGCACATGATCAAAAAGGTATTGCGACAATCTTTGGCTCAAAAGAAGACGATTTGACCTAACTTTCATTAAGAAAAAACGTCTGTATCCTCTGCTATTGACTGTCAAAATTCTTGAAAAAAAAAATATGTTTTTTGTAATATCTGGAGAATGTTACGGTGGATTTTAATGAAACTTGCTGTGGACTTGTTCCTAAATAAAACTCATGTTTTGATGAAGCAACCGCAACTGCATAACAAACAAACAAATTCATGACAATAATTAAAAGGTTCAGTGTCAAGCTAGGTGTCATTTAATTTTAGCTTACTTTGTTTTTTAATATCTTCTTTATTATGGCTGCAATTTATACTTTTGCTTAACAAACTGATATGTTACTAGTTTTAGGTTATTGTGAAGGAAATTGTTGTGCTAGTGTTCGAACATGTGCTGAAAGATTTCCTAATCGAAGAATTCCAAATCACAAAACATTTGCTAACGAGGAGAGACTACTTTGGGAAACAGGATGTTTTCTACCTGTAACATTAAATCGTGGATAACGTACGGCTAGAACTATTCAACTCGAGGGCCAAATTTAGGTACAAAAGCTGCGAAATAAAATATTTCAAAGCACTCTCCATAAAGAATATATATTTTCATAAGAAAAATCGTATGAGCTGTGTTCTAAAGAGCCAGTTTTCGAGATACAGGGTATTAACATTTTCGAAAATAAATATAACATTTACCCCAATTTAGTATTCAACTGTGTGGTAAGCTCATTTTCCCAACCAAATGGAAGAAAGTTGGTGCTGACATAATTGTATTCAAATGTAGAGAATTTCTACCTTTTTTTACTTACATTACTAGCTCAAGTTTTATCAATCCACGTCTAACATTTTCTGAAAAATGTTCCTCTTCTTTAAAGAATTTCTTTTTAATGAGAACAGGTATGTAAATGAAGTATTTCTTTATTTATGAAATAATAAACTTTGCTCCATAATAAATTTATGAATAAAATTGCTTACAAAAGTACTTATACACGACATGATTGAAAATTAAGTACCTATTATAACAAAATTTACTGTAACCTATTTCCCAATGTACTATATCAAGTTTGATATGTTAGATCACTTAACTTTGTAATATTTTGGCGGCTGAGCTTATAAATAAATGTTTTGAGTTACATACGGTTAAATAAATAAGTGTATAGATTAACAACTTCAATACTTATACATTTATAAAATGTTAAATATTATTTTGTACGACTTAACTGAATGAAACGCTTGGGTACATTGGGACGTAAACTATATACCCCCTTCCAAAAGTAGATACTACTTTTAATTCCAATTGACAGAGAAATCCATGAAAAATCGGGCACTTCACTTTATTACTTATACAAAAATAACCTGAGATAAGTTTTTTGACTAGAATTTCTATTAATATGCATATTTACTTTGACTAGTGGCTAATGGATATTGTAAAGATCAAAATATACAAGCCAAGGTAAATTAGTGACTGATTCATTGGAACTATATTTTTTCGGAAGGGGATACATATTACACAGGGTGATTTATTGGAACCAAGCAATGTTGTAAAGGCAGATTAGTCTGTAATGTGAGAGCACCCACCTACTGTAAAATTTCAAGTCAGACCGAACTCATTAACTTAATTTTTTTTATTCTAATCCCCAATGTTGCAGGCTATTGATTATGCCATATGGCATGGAACTACAACGTTGATGGGTTTTTATTGCATGAATCGTTCAAATGGTTATTTAGAATGAAAAAACCGCGGAGTGCTATTAAATTAGAGGGTGGAAATTGGAGATAGGGGTGAAAATGCAATCCTTACGGTTTTTTAAGTATATCTCGAAAACGAAACAAAATTTGCGGGTATTGCATAGGAAAATTTTTGTAGATAATGAGATTTTCTATCGAAATAGCTTATTTAAAAAATTTATTTACTGGAAAATATATTAAAAACAATTTAACAAAAAAAATGCAAAAAAGTCAATTATTTTGTTTTTTTTACTTTTATGCAAATAACTTTTCTGAGCAGATATAGGTATAGGCATTGCTTCATAAAAAAAATTATATACAATTTCCTACAAAATGATGGGTTATAAAAGTTTTTTCGATGAAAATAGACTGAGTTATGGTCGTTCAAACTTTGCCTTTTTTTGGGTTTTTACTGAATTTATGACAATATCATATTTAATTTATAACCCATCATTTTGTAGGAAATTATATATACTTTTTTTCAGAAAAAAGTTATTTTATTAAAAGTAAAAAAACAAAAAAATGAATTTTTGCATTTTTTTGTTAAATTGTTTTTAATATATGTATTTTGCAGTAAATAAATTTTTGAAATTTTTTAAATAAACTATTTCGATAGAAATTCTCATTATCTACAAAATTTTTCCTGTGCAATACCCTCAAATTTTGCTTCGTTTTCAAGATATACTTAAAAAACCGTACGGGTTTCATTTTTACCCCTATCTCCAATTCCTACCCTGTAATTTAATAGCAATCCGCGGTTTTTTCTTTCTGAATAACCATTTGAACGATTCATGCAATCAAAACCCTTCAACGTTGTAGTTCCTTAGTACCCTGTTTTTTAAGACATAATCAATAGCCTGTTAAGCCTGTAAAGTAATTTCAGTCAGCTGATATCGATGTAGGTCATGAAACCGAGGATTGCGTAAGTGTTATTGAAACTCCCATTTATTAGTTCAGCGCATTGTACCATTCAGTGCGTTCAATGTGACCAGATCTGTCAAATTAGCGTGTCGTTTGATTTCGGCGTTTATTTTTTACATTTTAGGCAAATGGTATCCAGAGGCGGCACATCTGCGGGGGCTCTAATATCTGTACCTTTTGTTTTCGATATCAAAACATCAGTTATTTTATCTTCATCATGTTCAAATAAATCACCCTAATAGTTTTTCAACAATATAACCTTTTAAGTTTCTCTTTGTAACATTAAATATACAAAGACATACAGGTACGTATTATTACTTTTTAACATAAAGTTAAAAACGGTTCTGTCCTGTATAATGGAGATCCTATTTGTTACATGTATTAAAAAAAATGTAAACACTATAAAATATATAATAGCTTTACACTTTGACACTTTCCCAGTCCTTGCTGGAGCTGTTCACGTAATGCGCATTGCCCTTTTCACTGTCCGAATCTATGAAGGGATTGTTCTGATTTGTAACTTTGTCCTTGATAAAAGTTTTATTTTGGGGCATGTTGACGTAATTGTCCTTTGACCTCACTATTTCACTGTTGTTGTTACTGTAATCTTTGGTTTCTTCCCCAACGTTTGGAGGTATGTGGTAACTGGGGTTCGAGAAGCTATTGGGGGTGACAGGACTTTGCACTGGGGTCTCGTAGCCCGATTCGCTAGTCCTTTGCAACATCGGCAACATCTCCATAGTGTTCCCTTCCTCCGAGTTCAAGTGTTTGCGGTTGTTCACATTGAAGTCGAACATCGGACCTGGAGAAATTGCAAATATAATACAAATAATGACAAATGTTGCGGTTTTTTTAAAGAGTTTGGTACTGAAGTAAGTAATTTTTGACGAATCTGTCACACAATGAAGCATAAATTGTAGTTATGATACACATGTCATTTGATATTTTATCATTTCAGGAATTAAACTGTTCGAAATAGTACTTCATTTTATTTTAAATTTTAAAATTACTAACCGTCTTCCGCTCGTGGACTGAATATGGTGTTGGGTTTCATACTGAGGTAACCAGAATCTTCCAGTGATTCTTGTCCGACCATCTCGTTCACATAATGAGGCGAAGAAAGGGCTTCAAACGTGGGCGGACTTAACATCGACAAATAATCGCTTTGGCCATCCCCAAGGCGTTGAGTGTTCATAACCAAGTAAGGATCGTTTAAGTCAATATAGTGCTGAAAAATGAAAACCATTAGTTTAAGATATTATGAAGCTATATCCGTGTATACATAAATGCCATTTCTTACTTTAAGGTGTCTGACCTTACTTACCTTTCGTATTGTGTCTTCTAGAAGACTTCCCAATCGCTCTGACAACTTTTCAAATGAAGGTCGTGCCAGTGGTTTAGGAGCCCAACAGTCAGTCATCATTTTGTAGCTGTAACGATAATACAGCAATCAGTGGGGAACCAAAAAAATGTTTTGAAATAATTTTGTTGATTTTGATAGTAGTGTAACTTATTCTAATGTAAAATATTCTTACCAATTCCATACTTTGTTTACTTACATCTCTTTTGGAGCATACTGTGGCGATTCCATTCTGTATCCGTCCACCAACTTCTGATATAGTCTTTCATCTGCTTCCATACCGGGATATGGAGTTCTTGCCAATGAGAAAAATTCCCAAAGGACTATGCCAAAGGACCACACGTCCGATTGAGTTGAAAACACCCTGTCCCTTATAGATTCTATGGCCATCCATTTTACTGGTAAAGGTCCCTAGATGTGGTTTAAATTTATTAATAAAACATTTAAAAACTGAACAATCTGTTCTGACAACACATATCTCAAAAGGAATGGGTATATCTGGTCAAAATAGGCGTCAATTGCTAATAGACCAGGGCGGATCTGTTTTGAGGTGGTTGTGAGAGGGGGCAAGCAATTCTTTTCTGGATTACATTCAGTACAACTCACATAATAAAAGCGTAGATCCCTAGATCTGGGCGAGGTTTGGAACATTTTTAAAATTGCAAAAATGTTTAAAAATTTTTAAAAATACCTGTTTTTTCTGATTTTTTTTACTTATATCTTGGAACCTATGCATTTTGGAAAAATATTGAAGGGGAAAAAAGTTTTAGAATTGAATTTTGAAGATAAAATAGATATATTTTTAAATTTTTTTTAAATTTTTGCAATTTTGAAAATGTTCCGGACCCCGTCCAGATCTAGGGATATACACTTTTATTATAGCGAGTTGTACTGAAGGTAATCCAGCAAAAATTAGCTTGCCCCCTCTTACATCCAAGAAGTGGAATATTTGGACAGATACGCCCTGGTCTATATAACATAGCACTGAAAAACTTACGTCTCCTCTTTTCTTGTAATTGTCATTTTTGTACATGCTCTTTGCCAGGCCAAAATCGCATATCTTGACGACGTTGTTGTCAGCAAGAAGTATATTTCTCGCAGCTAAATCACCGTGAAGTACCTAGAAGAATTAAACGCATAATTGTTTAAATAATCAATCAGTACCATAGACATACCTTTCTGGAAGCTAAATATTCCATGCCTCGAGCAACTTGAAAAGCCCAAGCCAGAAGATCTTTTGTACAAATAGGTTTGACGTTGCCTTTGTAGTCTCCTTTGTAATTGGACCGCCAATCTGGTTGGACGCTATTATTGCTTAGGGTTATTCCATCTTCACCTAAACAAAAGGTTGTCAGATTTTACATAAAAAATGAACTTGTTTCACAAACAGAAACTAAGACAATATTTGCTTACCATGGGATACCGTTGTCATATCCGTAGAAGGGCATACATCACCATTAGGATTTGCTCGATAATCTCCCATGTTATTAGCAGGCGGTACAACTGCCTGGTTGCTGCTGTTGGAAAATATCAATGCAGCATATTTGAGTGAAGGAGACTGAGCATTACTACAGAAAAAATAACCATGCACTAACTACGTCATATTAGTATAATGAAGTTGTTGCAAAAGAAGATCAATTTCGATGTCTAGTAAACAAGTATAAGGCTGATTGCTATGTTGTCGATTTAAATTTCCAGCCATTGTTCAGAAAAAAATCTGAAACTTGAGATTGTATTCTTTGATTTGAATTTATAACTGTTGTGTCTTAGTTCCCTGTTTCTACACCTAGGGCTCCATAATTGCGGATCCACGTGCTACTCTGTCTTCCTGTTTATCCAATGCTGTATACACCGACACCTAGCAGTATGCCATTCTTGCAGTTCGTCTTGGAAGAGGTCTAATGTAAATCCAATATTAATACCGTTGGAGATTTCTGGTAAGAGAAAGAGACGATTTTGGCCAAGATTATTCAGAATCAATAGAAGAGAATAGAACAGAAAAGGTAATTTCCACGGAGATGAGGCCAGTGGCTTCCAGCTAGGGAGGATATATAGAGCAAATACAAATATCGGTTTGTTCGTATAATCTCTAAACCGACGACGTAGCAATCAACCCAGGAATTGTTTAATCGCTGTTACCTGCGACGAAAAACTTCAAACCAATCTAATATCTAGTAAATATGATTTGAAATGCAAATAACTCTTCCAAAAAGGTTATTTAACCACCTTGCTACACAAAAGCCTTCTTTTGCAATCTGGTTTGTTAAAACCTTCACCAAATGTAGTAATGATATGGTCCTACCTTTTATCACTTGATACTGAGTAAGACCTGTCGAAAAACTCCTGACCAATCACATAGTCCACCCTACCCGTTTTGGGATCTACTTGGTCTATGTAATTGTCCCTGTGCCTTAGGAGATAATTCTGTAGGTTGCCAAACCGGCAGAATTCAACAATAACCAGTAATTCCCCTAAAACCAATATGAAATGTTTTAGATTTTTTTTTTCATTTTGCATTTATATACCGCTCTATGAATAAATATTGTCAAGGACGAAACTTACTTTTGGCAACATTTTTTGTGCAGGCTCCCAACAGGTTAACAACATTCAAATGTTTCCCGAGATGGACCATTATTTTCAGTTCCGATGCCAAGGCCTTGATATAAATGTGGTCCGCATTTTTTTTAACCATTTTGACAGCTACTGTAGATTCGTCTTCACCTTCTATTATTTTTTTCGCTACTCCCTTCATGACCACACCAAAAGCGCCTGATCCCAATTGTTTACCTATGGAAAGGTGTAGATTCTTAGTAAATTTATTTACACTTAGAAGTGACAAGATTAAGAATTACAGAATATAAGATCCTCACCTAATTTTAAATGTTCTATAGGAAATTCCCATTTTTGGTCATAAGGTAAAAGTTCAGCCTGCTCATCCAAACCGAGTTCAGGATTAATGTTTTCGACAGCACCTTTTTGAAAGTTGGCAAGGCCCAGTATTTTCAGTTCTCTTTGCAATCGCTAAAAATTATTAATTAGGTAATGTAACAACAGAAGTTGATTTGTCGGAAACGAGTAACAAAGTTAAGTAATTTAAAACTAGTTTACCTTTTCTTTCCTTATTTTGATGATAATAAATATTATTGTACCAAGGGATACTAAGCTGAGCAATATAATAATAGCTAAGAGCCAACCATGAGCTGCTTTTGGTAAATCTGGAAATGAAACATTGAAATTACTAGTTTTTTGAAATTATATAAACTTACTCTTAAATTTAACAATCTGTTGCTTCAGTTTACTTCCCATCCTGTTCCTTGCTTCGCATTTGTAGGTGCCCTCGTCTTGCGCTATAGTATGGGTAAATACTATTTTGTCATTGCTCTCAGTGATAAAGACCCTTTTTTCGTCCAATGCTTGAAAAACAATTCCATTCTTGAAACAAAAACTTTTAGATAATTTTAAAACAAATGATTTTAACACAATTTTACCTTATACCAGGTCAAAACAGGTTTTGGTATGCCAGAAACCTTACAATATAACACTAGTTTGTCTGGTAGGTTCATCGCCTTTTCATCTATCAAGGTTGAATTGGTGATGTTTGGTGGTTCTGGACCTGAAGCATATTATTCTTTTAAGTACACTGTAAATAGTAATATTTATACTAATGCATTTATCTACATGAAGTATTACTCAAACATTATCTAATAGTAACACAATAGAAAAACTAATACTCACTGGCCACATTGAAAGTCATATTTTGAAATTCGTACTCTCCATTCTTGTTGATAACTCTACAGCTGTACAATCCATTATCAGAAACATCTGCACGTTGAATTTCTAGTTCGAGTTTGCTGGAATATTGGGTACTACTCTTAGTAAGTTTGTATCCTGAAATTGGAGCAAGAGTTATAAGGTTTCAGAACTAATTTCTGAATAAACAAGTAACTAAATTTACTTACTGTCGTTTTCCGTTAGCAGTTTATTATTATAGAACCAATTGACGTCAGAATATTTCTGATTTGAAGCACCGCATGTTATTGTAATCGTGTCGCCTTCGGCGATTGTTGCTACTCTCTTTTCCTCATTTACGTCCACTCCACTGTCCAGACCAAATATGTCAAAACCATTTTTTACATCTGAAGGTATAAGAAAATTATTGAGTTGGTATAGTTTAAATGATACTCTTGTTGACACGTATGGTGTTAATAATTTTATGTTAGAAGAAGGTTATAAACAGCAAACGCTTAGTGATATATTTGAGCAAAATGATATTATAAGTTAGAGACGAGAACGTATTTCAAACTTACCAGATACGTAAAATGCTTTAAATGCTGAAGAATTTCCTTTGTAGTTTCTTGCAAAACATTTCAGGAATCCAGACTCAGTAGCGTTGATGACTACTTCAGATACGAATTCAAATCCCTTGTTCTTAGATACTGTTCCATTTATCTAAATGAGTTAATATCGGAAAAAAATTGTTATATAATTATCCCAAAGCTTTCTGTCTATTTTCTCCAGTAAGTTCAATTAAAAAAGAAACTGAAAAAATTCTTACCTCCTTAAAACTACAAGCAACGGATTGACATGATTTGAAGTACCATTGGAACTCTGGTTCTGGATAAGCATAAGCATAGCACTTCACTCTAGTCTCGGTGTCAATCAAATGGAAAGGCTTTACGTCTAACACGACAGTTGGTTTATCTGTAACAAAACATTGTAAGCATACTGCAATTATAAATATACTTCGTTTTCCGTACCTGTTACATTTAGAAAGAAATCCTTTTTCTCCGTTTTGTTGTTGATAGCCAGCAAGGTGAAAAAGCCAAAATCTTTAATTTCGATGTTCTTAATTTTTAAAAATGCCCTATTTTTAGAAGAGTCGTAATAAGCTTCGTATTTGCTTCCATTTTCCATGCGAATTGTTTCATTTTTGTTGTTTAACCTACGAAAATAGAAAATCGTTGAACTGTCCTTTGTCCTTACCTAACATATTATACAGGAAGGTTTGGAAATCAGGTCAAAAGGGAAGTACAGTATGCGGAAATAAATAATTTGCATTAAATAAAGTGTCAAGTGTCCAGAAAGTTAATCAAGATTGTAAGGTGAAAGAAGAAAAGACAGCAAGGTATCTTAACATAGGAAGGAAGACGTTTTATACCCTGCGCTTGGAACCCGAGCCGCAGTACCCGCGATATTGCACGTGAAAATGGTACTTCAAATATGTGGCATGTGTTACGAGATAAGTTAGTACACCCTGATCATGTACTACTATAAATTATTTTCAGTAGAGTGTAGAATTTTGTTGTCGGTTCCAGCTCCAACAGCCAAGCACCAAATTATACAAACACAATACTTTTCACAAACGAAAGCTGTTTTATAAGAGAAGGAATACTGACAATGTCCTTGAAATTATTTCGTGCACTCTACACAACAGAGCTGGTTTCAAAATTTCCGATGTCTTTGATTTGACTTGAAAATATGACATTTTAAACCACAGGTTGTTTAATGAAGATTTGTTTATTTTCACGACCTCTGCTACCCCTTTGAAAGATCGTACTAATTTCAGAAAGACCCTATATATGTATACTCACCAAGTTACAGAAGGTTTAGGATGACCCTTGACTACAACACTCCACTGAACTGACGGTTCTCCCGCGGATGCTATTATGGAGTAAACATCGTTTTCTTCCTCCACGACAAGGAAATGCTCCTTGACATCTAAAAATGAAGTCACTCGATATCTTTGTGATTAGTAGAATATTGAACTCACCGAAAATTTTAACATTCAGGCTAGCATGAGAGCTGTGATGTTGATTATCAGTCACATTGCAGAAATAGGTTCCATTATCAGACTTTGTAGTGTTATATATTGTTAAAGTTTCCATCATCATGTCATTCTTCCTCTCCTTACGAGTACGCATTCGTTCCTCCTATACCAAAATATTTCATGTACAATTTATTTAATCAATTAAAATTTCTTAATCAACTCAGTTTCTAAAACTGGAAGTAAAATACTTACATCCACTGGAACTGGTGTTACCCAATGAAAGTGCACGTTGTTTTTCGCTATTACATTACATTTCAGATTTAAATCCTTCCCGACAACAGTATGACCCTCGCTCAGGTCTTGTAGATGTGGTATTGGCAAGTGGCTGATGGGTACTAATAAAAATTCATGGTAGGTTATTGCACAACAATTTCAAAACTCACGAAACTTACTTAAGAAAACAACACAGCCAAAGAAATTAAAATTATTGTGACGATAATTTTTTGTTTATTAAAAAGATACAGGATTAGGTATAACATAAAGTAACTGGAACTTAATTTCCCAAAATACGTTAATTTGATTAACAAAAACAATTAATTTTTAAATAAAAATTATTGTCACTTTATTAAATTACTTATTCTAATTTTAGACAGAATTAATTAAAAGCATTTACAGAGACATTACCAACACCAATAACTGGACAATGCATGAAAACAGAAGATGAATGTAAGGAAAAAATAGTTTTAGTGAAGCACAGAAAAAACTCAATATATTAGTTTACAAATACGGTGTCTTCGTGATACAAGAAATACAATAACAGTGATCTAAAGTAACCTCCAAGTGCTGCCAGGTTATGTATTTGTAAAATGCCAGTGGACATCTTTGGAAAAAGAGAACAAATGTTTTTAACGATTGCAGTTTTAGGTAAATTTTGGATAAGAGAGTAGCTTTAGACTTTTTACGATTCACATGTTAGTGGACATACGTGAGTGGTACACCAAGTGCATTTTTATCTATTGTTAGAATGGAATCAAAACATAATAAAATGAAAGAAAGAAGGGTAAAGAATTTATTAGTTCCAACACACCAACGAAGGAAAGAAGAAGCATGGACTACCACCAGAAGCATTTCCGTGCCTTACTTACGACTGGGGTCTATAGTCAAATGGACCAGAACTTCAGCCGAATTGGAATCTTTGGAAAAATTACATAAATACATTTGTTGTTGGCTGAGATCTGATACAAAAAAGCTAAATCCAGTTTTTGGATCGTAAACAGCGTCTTCTACCTGTAAAATAAAGTTAGATGTAATGTAACAACAAAAACAAATACTACATTTTTTTTTTAAATGTTCTATGTCAACGCCACTACACAGTTCAGAATTACGTTCAACTGTAAATGTATTATTTGTTCTTGTATCTTTGTATTTAGGCTAAACAGATAAAATAATAACCTACTTTCCACGATCATTCTAACGATGGACTTCTGCATAATGCCATTTTTGTAGAACATACATTCGAACACTGGATCAATGTGTAGATTTTTGGTGTCATTTGTAAGGAATCCGTAGAGACGATCGTAACGATAAAGGGTTTCGTCCTGATTTATATCGTCTAAAGACACCTTTTAAATTTAAATAAAATTAATAATTTGTACAATATTAATGAAAAAAACAATTAAAGATAAAAATCTTATGGAACATAAAGTTACCGTATTTAAATTAATTGATCGTGAACTATTAAAGCTACTAAGATGATTAAATGTTATACATATTTAAAAAATATGTTTCGAAATTCTTCAGTGTAAGAAATAACTTGTTATCTTTTGTGCAAAGCCTCAGATCAACGGCAGACATATACATATTATTAGTATGGGCCTAATGCGAGGATACAAAAATTTACAGATTACAAACACGTCCTGTCTTTTTCCAATAGTCTGTAGTACAGCTTCAATTCGAAGTGATAGTTCTTCAACATCACCTTTCCTATTTTACACTAAATTACTTAAATATTATCAGCAATAAAAGTGCAAGAGGTTTATGTCATGACAATTAAAAGGCCATGGAACGGATCCACCTATCAGGAAACTCAGGAGATTTAAATATTTTTGTAGATTGAAAAATAGTACAACGCGTAGTCTAACCTCTGTCCAAAATTGTAGCAGAGAAGTTTCGGTGTTGTTGATAATTTTTTAGTAGCCAAAATATTTTTTCTGTCATTTCTAGGCAACTTTTATTAAATATTAAAGTAATTTTCAGCAATCAGCTTCTTTAGCGTGTTGCATCAAGATACACAGAATACATTTCTGAGTTTATATAGAAGCAAATTTCATTACAGCACATGCTAGATTTGTCGTTTTTACTATTGGTATTTCAAGATTTTTTCACTGATTCGACATAAATACAAAAAGCTAAATCTTCTATAATAATACAATTACAATTTGAAACCTAACCTCTTGAAACGAAATACATTTACTATGTAATTTATTACTTACATTAAAACCATCAGCTAAGGTTGAGAGTGTGACATCGACATCAGGTGCAGTAGGTTTGCAAGGTATAACAGCTTCTTGGTACTGAGTGACAATAACTTGCTCAATGACGTTGTTCAATTCAAGAGTGGTTAAATGATCAGGATCTGCAAATCGCGATTTTGAATGTAATCCCTCCATTTACGTTTCAGAAAATCAAGAAGTAAAGTTATTGAGTATGCTTACCATTAACGTATAAATATACGCTTGTGCTTTCTTCAGGGTTATCTATGTCTGCATCTTCATAGTGGCAGTAATAAAAACCAATAAAAGGATAACTCATGTTAATAATTTGCAGTCTGCTTCCATACTTGTAATGGTTGTTTATAGGTTCCTCAGACACGGGGATAAATGTGGTCCAAGATTGTTTGTCTTTCTAAAACGTTTTATAATTAATGAAAGGTTGTATAAAGTCGTAAATTATTATGTTTGTTCTATAATTATTTGCAATCAATTTCTAATTTCAAAATCAACAAAACTATCTTCTCTTACTTTTACTTTAGGCACCGTCCATTTCAGAGGCCTGTTTCCTTCACAAAATAACGAATGATTGTCATTTGCCTCAACCACTGGCTGTAACTCTGATATAATTTCTGGTCTTCCTCCCGGTGAAGCTGAAAGCATAATTTAATTAAAATATTTAAAACATTTAAACAACATTCATGTATAGTTCTTCACATTTCTGTGAAGAACTATACATAGTTCTTCACAGAAAAGTTTCTACATCAAAACTTACTGATTTGTTACAGAGTAATTGAAATTATCTTAAAATCACGAATTTAATCATTAATAACTATTAACTAAGGTTTTATTGTTACAAGAGTACTGAATTTAAGACGTAGATTAATTATAAATGTTGGAAGGAATGCCTGTGGTATCTAATTAATATGTGCTTATAAGTGAACAATTGCCCTTGTATGTGGCATTGGCATTAAAATTTAAGATACGTTCATATTAGTCATTGCTAATTAAAATGGAAAAAAAAATTTTTAGAAAACTCGACTTTTTTCCGAACAAAACATATGATAATGAACTATTGACTGAAGAAATAAAAATGAAATAATACGAGGAAATAAACTCTAGGAACTTTAATACAAAATATATGAAAAATTCTAATACAGACTTTGATCTAGTATGTTTACCACACCATCAAGTATTACACTGAATTTATATAACGACTTTTTGAGGAATGCAACTATCCCCAAACTGGAAGACACAAACAAATGAAACGATGCTCTTGACAACTATTAATTTGCATTCAATTTGCGTTTAAAAGTTGAAAACAAGATTAACTAGTCATATCGTCAGTACTAGTCATGTTATTTATTTGTTGCCATTGTCATACTCGAACTGATTCACCAGAGTACCTGAATAACCAAAAGCATATGTAACAATTTTGAACTCAACTCGTCAGCAATTTCCAAATTATCTTCCATGATCACTTACATTAATTATATAAAGTGTCAAAAGCAGTATAGGAAAAAACAGTTTTCAAACAAATTAATTTGTTGTAATTTGTTTGGTCCAATTATTTACAACCAGGATGAATACCAGGTACAACACAACATGTGCGGCAGAACTAATATAATGAAGGCGTAGAAGCCACAGATGCAACAAAAAAACTCTTCAATGTCAAATCTATCTTAATGTTTTCGAAAAATTTATATTTTTACAATTTATATCCTCTACTATAAACAGTTTAGTAATATATTAAATTTTAGTGTAATAGATCTTAGCAGTATTTTAAAAATTAAAATGGAAATAAATGTGTATTTTGAGATATACAGAATGTGTCCGAAATTAGTGCTATCTTCAGAGAACTAATTATTTTAAACAAAAAGGCTTATATGATGTTTCTAATGTGCGTAAGCCTGATTATTGGATTTTCAAACCAATGAAATCAATTTTCTGTAACTTTTTGAGAAGCCCTTGCATTGTTTCAAGTTGCTGAAGCATCCGAATGAAAATGAAATAACAGACAATTCATGTTATCCAACTTATTTGGGACACTTCAGTGGAAATACCTAAATAAATTACTATTTTCTTGATTCTGATCATGGACAAAATGTCCACTATCATACTTTGGACTGATGTATTATTAACACAACCTAAGAATGCGTTGTAAATAAGAGGATGTAAAAAACTATCGAAAAAGCGAGTAGGTTTCAACTTCCTCTTGATAAACGCTGGGTTATTTGTATAATACGGTTACGGACAAAATAGAACGTACTTACTATATTCTTTATCAAACAGAATAGTTTGTGGCGAAGCCATAACCGATCGCATAAGATGTGTAAAATTTCAAGGAAATGGTTTTATCGACGAAACGTACTAAAAAAATAGCTTCGATTGTGTAAACGTTTCAAAAATCATCATCCTCCCGTGTTTTCCTTGCTTTGTGATTCTGCTGTGAGTGGTCTAGGTATAGAGTATTTACATCAGGGTTCAAATAAAGTAAAAAAATTGAGTGTATAAACTCTTATTATCATCAATCGACCTTTCAAGGGAATGACCAAAAATCTTTTACTTTATTTAATCTATTGTGAGCGCAAGTATCTCTAAATTCTTTAGTTAACGGGTATTTTATTATCACCATTAGTGTATTCTGAGATTTGTCAAAATTATTAGTCAATTTGATTCAAATTAATCATCCCGTATGTTGTATGTTTATCTTATTTCATATTTTATGACCCATTACATGAGTCATACATGTAAGATCACTATTTATTTAAAGCTTAAAATTGCAGTGTTCATACTATTTTACATATTAAAAATTAGGATAACGAAAATGAATATTTTAATTTAATAACTGTACAATTGAGGAAAGCATATTTGTAGCTTACGATTTCAAATATGTACTTCATTTAAAAATATATTTTATTTTTTTGTTTTCGCTTTATATTTGATTTATCGGAAGCATAAAATTCTAAAAAATAAAACTGAACATCCTTGCTATAAACTGACGCTATGGATTTATATTTATACTGAAAAAGTGTTATTCTATCGTAGCTTACGTCAATAAATCCTATTAAGATTTTCGCGATTAAGAAACAAATATAGTAGGTTTATTGTTTGATATTTATGAAGCATTTTTTCATATTTCTAGTAAGAGGTTTATTTTTGAATATGCATGGTAAATACCAAGTAACTGAAATCGTAAAAATTTATAGCAATCTTGCTAAATCGTTTACAGTTTTCTTTTATTATACAGGGTGTCCGCAAATTTTACCGACAACGTTAGACTGCATATTCACGACGATAAATAAATACGATCTACGAAAAAAGTTAAATAAAATTTTTTGGTTTTTGAGTTACAAGCCTTTAAGCTTTAGTCAAATCGTTATACTGGGTGATAGGTTTCACCAGTTACTTTTAGCGATCAAAACTTTTACAGTGGTCGTATTTTTTTTAAAATGGACAGCAACATTGAAAAGGTCGTTTTATTTAAAAAAAAATATTGTCTCTTGAGAAAATCGCCTACAGAAAGCCATTCTTGAAAAATGAAAATTTACAACTCCGTTCCTTGTTACACAAATTTGTCAGTACAAAACAATTTTTGAAGCAAATTATTATCTTCTGCGAAGCCATTCATCAACCAGCAGCAAAATTGTAAACGTGCGTTGGGATCTAAATTTTCAAGTTCTTGAGCAGGAGTTAAATGAAATGGCCGAAGAAGTTGCTTTTTAAAGTTTTGTGAACATTAGTTTACATACATTTAATAATTGTCTTGATACAATGCGGACACTTCACAATTTGCATGTGTAAAGTGACGAAAATCCTAAAGAAACACGACAATAATGACATTAGCTGATAGCCACAGCAATCAACATCTTAATTATTATCATCGCTTACTGCAGTCAAAGTTTTAAATCCGTGACTGCTACGCAAACCAAAACGCACAGATCTCTTCTGTAGGCGAGTTTCTCAAGTGATAATATTTATAAAACAACATTTTGAATGTTGCTGCACATATAAAAAAAATTCGATCACTGTAATAGATATGACCGCTAAAAGGGAGAGGTAACCGGAGAAAAATATCACCCAGTATATAGATTTGACTAAAGCTTTAAGAAATAATACGCCATAATAGTCCAAATAAATGTGCCAAATTTTAACGCGATCGGTAAAAGGGTTATGAAGTTATTAATTAAATCAATTTTATTTTTGACAACTTTGAAAATCGTCAATTTTTTTTCCGTAGATCATATTTATTTATCGTCGTGAATATGCAGTCAAACGTTGTCGGTGAAATTTGCGGACAACCTGTATGTAATTTTTGTTTCATGACCAAATGTGCTTCAAGAATTGTAAAATTGTTTTATATATTTTTCCATTAAATAGTTTATTTTCTAAAAATGCCTTTCTATAAATCTAAAAAGTGTTTTTTGGCGAGAATTGCAAATATTTAGGATACCACGTATAAAGCCAATAATTCATGATAGTTTTTTGTACTGCCGGTTGTACATATGATTTATAACAACAAAAACTATGAGCGTTGTTTTTTTTCAGACGCAAAGGGGTATGTAGTAGTTATTAAACTCACAACTTTTTCCTATGCATGCCTATAATTTAAAGCAGTAGTTTTTCAGATCTAAAAAGCACGTCTTTTTTTATTCTCAAATCTTTGATGTAAGGATTGGTTTTGGAGAAGTTGTACCTTCTTCGAATGCCTTTGTGATGGGATCTGTTTTCTTTTTTAATGGCGAAGTTTAAAATAGAATTGACGAAGATTTTGTTTAACCGTACTTCTAAATCTATTTTAAGATATTAGGTTAATTTAAAATAGTTGTTATTTAATATTTCAATGAACGTCTTAAAAACAACAGAGTACCTAACAAAAATATATTTTCAAGTTTCATTTTGACGCAATTTTTAAGAACGTGTATATAGGGTGTTCGTTATTATTTATCCACACATCCATAAAACCCTTATTCTTCAAGATAATCGACTCAACTTTTTTGTTTTAGTATTTTTCAAATTTAATTTTGTTCAACTTTGAGATCATGTAGATAGAAACACCTTGTATGTTTGTTTGGGGGTACCGAAGAGCCCCAATTCGCGCTATTGTGTCAGATTTCAATGAAAACAATCGCTAAATTATACTTAAAACCAAAAATGTTTCGATTATTCGAAGAATAAAGATTTTACGGATTTGTACACAAATAAAAGTAGACGCCCTGTATACAAAGGAAAAATTTCTGATTTTTCTGGGCAATTTAAGGGATTCCAGAAGTAGTTCCTGGTCTGCATGTCACAACTGAATAAAGTCCCTGAATGACCGTTCTAAATAAACGTAGTAATACTACAGCAATTCATCTTGGGAGATAAAACAAAACAGGTATTTCACAATGACTCGAAGTGCGCGGTCGATTAGTCATCGCCAGAGGTAAGTCAGTCTCCGGATTACTAACAAAATAGTTTCACGTGTTACATTCATGAATTCACCTGGATATTCAAACGCTTTCTTAAGCCTCTTCAGATCAATAACGGGACATCCGTAGTGTATACTAATGTATTTCATGGAAAATGTCTTAATAGTAAGAGTGAAGCAACCTGGCGAGAATTTTAACGTTGCTCACATTTTCGATTAAATAAAATTATCGGTATCGCTGTT